GCATTTAGCAAAGCCTCAAACAAAGGCGGGGCGGGGCTGTCCAGGCTGAGCCGGTGGACATTCTGCACATCGAAGATCGAGGCGGCTGTGCTGCGAAAGGGTCCAAAGGGGACTTTTGCCTTCCATGAGCAAAAGTTAAATCAAGCTCGAGCCGGGAACCCAGAAACCAAGCCCACCGCAATCAGAGAATGACGAATGCGATTCGGGAGTGTGTTGCTGAGTCATGTTACCCATTTTGGGGAGGTCGCGTTGCAATTTCAGCCGCAGACACAGTCGTTTTTTTGTTTACAGATTTTACAGGAAGAGGACCGATTTTCGGACCGTTTCTTTCAGAGACATTTTTCAATTGAGATGAAGGTGCTTGCCACTTCCGGCACTTCTCACAAGCATGTCCAAAATAAGTTTGGAGTCAGTCCCGTGGCATCCCGCCGCTCCCGTGGAATCCCACCATCAAAGCTCACAAAAGCTCGCACCCTGCAGGGTTTACCCTGTCCTGTAGTAGCGTCGCGTGGCGTCGCCAAAGCTTGCACATGCTCGCACCATGCGGCACCATAAGCGAGCATCCAATCCCCGAGTGTTTTTTGGGAGGAACAGGTCACTCCAATTTACGAATGCCCCAAGAATCCCGATTGTACTAGTAACTCGTGCACGCTTCGCGCCTTGCAATCAAGTTTTATCCAGTTGGCAGCTGGGGCTTATGTGTGAAGGTGGCCGTCAAGCAGAACGGGATGCCATCGTTGCAAAGCCTGAGAGCGCACAGGAGGCGACGGTTCTGCAGATGTCTGCAGGCTGCAGCTGAGCAGGAAGAGAGCAAACAGTGGAAACCACTTGGAAACCACTAACAGCAACTCTACCAGGGCGGCAAGTTGCCTTGTCCAGTGACACCTCGTCAGGCGCGAGGGATGGCTGTTTCTCTTTCCCTTAAGTTTAACGTGTTAAGATGTTTAAGATGAGGTGCGGATTCAGACAGACGCTCACCAGTCGCACTCGCCAGAGGCAATGTGTTCTGCCTTTTTCCAGCCTGGATGCTAAAAATAGATGCCTCAAAGACCCTCAGCCGCCTCAGCCGCCTGAAAATTCTGCGTCAGGTGACCGAGGCTCTGCGGGAGCGCGTGGCCGGGAACTTTGACCTGTGCATAGGACCTGGCTTGAAGGCTTGGGCAGAACAGCAAACATGTGTGACAACCTGCGTGTGCAGAGCATTGCAGAGCCAGTTCCGTCATTGTGGTTCAGAGCTCAGGCAATGCTGGAGACTCTATTGGCAAAGGGGTCGCCGTTGAAGGCCAAGAGATGCCAAGAGGTTGTCGAAAGCATTCAGATGCCATCAGTGCTTTGCGCAGGTTGCGCAGGGTCCGCCGCATGCAGCTGCTGCAAGACATGACGAGGACGTGCTGAACGGCGTCAGTACACCAAGATAATGAAGTCAATCTCTATGAAGTGCATGAAATGGCATCGTTCTGGCTGGGAAGAGCGCACCGGTGCAATACAATGGAGGGCTGTTTTGTTGTTGCCGCCTCGGCAGCCGGGCCGGCCCAACACAGGGTGTAGCGTGCTCATCGCAGATGAAGGAAAGCCAAAGTCATATGTCGCTTGGTGCAGCGCCACACGCGTCATGAGGTCAGGTTCAGGAGGTTTATGGTGGTCCCAGAAGAGTCCCAGGCAGTGTTCCAGGCATGCGGCTACTGCAAGTGGTTCGGTGGGCCAGCCGGGAGTTATTGCACTTTGTTCGCTGATCTGGTCCCCTGGTCTGTCCCGACAGCCCGCACTGCAGATCCGGACAGGGCAGGTGGCAACCGATGGCACCAGCTTGTCGACGAGACGAGAGTGCACCGATGGGTGGATGAAAGCGATCAAGAGAGAGAGCCTCGAAAGCAGCGGAACCAGCGAAGCCAATGATAGCTGTTAGCGGTTCGAGTCCCTAGCCGCCTTGGGGTGGTGCGAGCCCACGTCGAAGGCACTAGGAACACTGGATGACCGCGTGACATTGCCCCGCAGGTCAGCCTCGAGGAGTTTGCAGTTCGTGGACTGGACGCAGAAGGTTGCTTCTGTAACCTATTCCTCGAACTAGACGATCTTGCCAAGTCTTGAGCATCATAATTAATCCTTTCTCGTCCTTTTAAACTATTTCTTGCGACAAGACCCGCAATCGACTCCCGGTGCTAGCTCAACAATGAGCTGCCAGATGTATGGATCATCCACAACCCATCGCTTACACCGGCGTGCATAATTCCAAGCGCTCGGCCCGGATGGTCGTAGCTTTCCTAGTACTTGTCGTGCTTTTGTCCACCCAACATGTGTCGGAAAACATGTCCGTGCCAAGTCCCAAGCAATGTCCGTCGCAATGCAGTGGCCGTGAAAGCCGCAGCCGTTGCCAAGACAGCCGCGAGGTCTCGAAGCGGGCACCCAGAGCGGGGAAGTGACTTGGTTTCTCCGATTGTCTCCGCCATGGACTTTTAGCAGGAATTTCGGTTTTGACCCTTTTCCATTGACCGCACACGGCAGCTTAAGTTATCAGCATTTGCCAAAAGCGATCATCTGCCTCGGGCGGCGTGGGTGGCGTGGGCGGCGCAGAATTGGTTCTTGACGCTGACAGCGATGCGCTAGACAGGGATGACAAGGCAAGTTCTCCATGGCACATCATGGCACCAAGCCTTGTATGACACGAGACTGAGAAACGCCTGCACAGCTGAGACGCAGTGCGGTGCGCCATGACCAGACTTTGTAAACATATCGATGCCCCAGGAATCATCATCACGCACGCTGAGTGAGGACATCAGCTCAGCCTGTTTGCAAGCCAGTTATCTAAAAGATTATGGAAGTGATCTCTTTGACCGTTGCTCCGTGACCTGCAGGACTCAGTAGCGGCACGCACTGCTCCAGTGGGAAGGCAGCGCAGCCGAAGCGTCCGCATCTCCAAGCAGACTTCTTTCGACTCTGGAAAAAGCGGTTTTCTGAGCCCACGAAGCTCGCACCACCAAGCCTTGGCCTCTGTGCTTTTTTGCAACGTGCATGGCAACGTGTGCATGGCAACGTGTGCTAGCGCATTGCAACTGAAGGAATCAGCCTCGTTCAGAGTCAGCTCGGAGCCGTCCGGAAAGGCAGGTTCTCAAGCTTATGCATGTTCCTACAGTACACATCCATATGATACACATCCACGCAAGTCTAAGAGCATGAACGTCCCAGAAGACCGCTCGTGCGGGCATGGGTGCTTAGCACAACCTACCTCGAGTTACCGACGCAGTGTTGCACGTCTTTCGTCCGAAGCTTTTTCAAGCTGTTTGGTGGCGCATCGGCCACAAGTTTTGCATGATCATCATGGCGACCACGCCGAAGCACTGCATGTATGCCATGTTGGTAACTTGGGTGGAACTCTGCATGGTTTTCAGATGCTTTTAGCCTCCACAGCTGGTCGAATTTGCGACTCCTGAGCATTGCTGAGCGCTGCCGCAGGCAGAATCGGAAGGGACGTCAGACAATGCTGAAGGCCAAGCAAATCAGACAGTAGACATCTGTGCGTCTTGTTTGTTCTCGTCCTTGATCATTGTGTCTTGTGAGGCACGTCTCCCACATCTCGCACATCAGGCACTGTCTTCGAAACAGTTGCCGGTATGGATTTGCGTCTGGTCTTCCCAGTGTAAGTTCTGAGAGCATAATACGATATGTATCTTTCATAGTACATGTCGGAGGCGAGACGGCTCTGAAGTCGGAAGCGGCACCAGGCACATGGTGCCGTTGAAGCAATGCTCCCGGCATGGAAATCTCCTTCCTTTGCGTTGGCTTGTTGGCTGAATGTGCTCGGGGGATCTCTCGAGGGCTGAGTCGGTCTGTTTTGGTGCGGAGGAGCCAGTCCAAAGGCTGCGCAGAAAGGCAAAGGCAGCAAAGGGCCACCACCTCCAAAAGGAGGCCAAATAGGCCAAGAAACCTGTGGCACTGTGGAAACCTGCGGCACATGCACCCACTTGCGAAAGGAGAGCTCTTGAGAGGTGCAAAAGGTTCCTGTCCAGAGGCAGCTCCTGGTAAAGGTAAGGGAAAGAGTAAGTCCACCCCTCCAAAGGCGGGGGGCGGGGAGGGGGAGAATCTGTCACATTTTACAAAAGCGAACAAGCAGATATACACTTCCGAGGGCATCATATGTGGCATATCATGGCCGTTTTACATTCAAAGGCTCCACCCCGAGGAGCTGCAAAGGTGGGCCAATGCACGTTTGCACGTGTTGCGCTGCACGCTCAGGGGGGATGCTCAAGCTGCTTCGATGTTTTTTGAGGCGTGATGCAATGATATGCACCTTGTCGCAACGACTTGTGCAGGCTGGATTCGCCAAAGACAGTCACCATCCTAGGAAGGTGCGAGAGAGTTCGCCAAACTCACATCACGGCGCCTGGCAGACTTTTCTCTTTCCCTCTCCGATTTCTTTAGGCAGAAATTCAGCCCAAATTGCCGATGAAGAAGCTCTTCTGGAATTCCTTCGTGTGGGTCTTCCCAGAGTACAGCCTGTGAAGCTGCAAAAGCATTCTCGCAAATCTTGGAAAACCCTCATCGCAATGCGTTGCAAGTTGCAAAGGCTGGACGATGAGCATCTTAAATCTGAAAATGCCAGGGGCCCAGCAAACGTGTCCAGCCTGCACCGAGCACAGATCCTTCAGCCTCGGCTATTGCAGAGCAAGTTGCAGGCCAGGCTTGGAAGAATGGTCACACGTGCAAGTTTCTTTCGTGTGCTCTCCACCGGAATTCAACAGGACGGCACCTTGTGTTGATTCTAGGTTTGGGCAGCAATAGAGAGCGAGAACTCTGATGCCTACAACTTTGACATGCAGGACGGCTCAGTGTATCGCGAAATTGTAAGCGCTTGCGTGCGCCGCCTCGGCAGCCAGGAAAGGGTTTTGTGGCGTTTTGAGGGGGGGTCCCAGCAGGGGTCCAGGGTTTTTCAGGGGCGGTCCCACAAAACTCAAATGCCAAATTCAGTTCGCCGTCGACAGGCGGGACCCCCCACGGCATCGGTTTGCAGCTCCCCCAAGCGAGGGGCGTCCCACAGAGCGGGGGGGGGGGGGTGCGTCACAACATTTGGTGTGGGGGGAAAGGTTGGGTTAGGGGGAAGGAGACCGGATTCGTGTCTGCTTGTTCCAAACGCTTCTCGGCAGGAAGCCGAGGCGAATATTTTCCCCGTTGCCGCTTGAGTGCAGCACTGTGCCGCATGCTGATAGGAGCTGGAGCAACTCTTCTCGGAAACGCTCCCTGCTTATGGCTGTGCTTATGGGCACCTGCAAAAGCTCGCGACTGCTAAGAACATGGAAGTCATGAGCACTGCATGGCTCTCAGGTCGATCCGCTCTGGTGTGCAAAGTCCAGCATCGCATGGAGCGCATGCGGTAGTCTTGCTGAGATCTGAGAGAGTGTTGTGAGGTACATCATTCTGTGGGGTTCTTGTGTTCTTTGGCATCGACGGCCCGCCAACCTGCGCCCGAAACCACATGCACCGCCACCCGACACACATGCACCGCCGCACGACACACATGCACCGCCGCACGACACTACACACATATGCACACGGCAGTAACACCCATGCAAAGCAAACGCACATGACACTAATGACACTAATGCTGACTTCGCTGTGCTCGGGGTTTGGGCTCTTTGGGGGCTGGCTGCTGCGCGTTTGGGGGTCAACGCCCCTGAAACCTCGCTGTGCTCAAAGTTTTGGTCTCTTAGGGGCTAGCTGTTCTTTTGCTCGTTTGGGTCAACGCCCCGGAAACCTCGCTGTGCTCGAGGTCTTGGGCTCTTAGCGGGCTGGCTGCCCTTCTGCGCGTTTAGCACATCGCTGTGCTCGAGAGTTTCGTCTCTTCGGGGGCTGGCTGCTCTCCGGCGTGTTTGGGGTCAACGCCCCTGAAACCTCGCTGTTCTCGAGGTTTTGGCCTCTTAGGGGGCTGGTATTCTTTTGAAACCTCTGAGGGGGATGTCTCCGTGCTCGAGGTTTTCGTCTCTTAGCTGGCTGGCTGCTCTTCTGCGCGTTTGGGGTCAACAATGCCGTGATTGCTCTTCTACGTTTGGATCATGTACTTCTTTCTCGGCTCGAGTTAGCACAGGTGCAGGGTCGGGTACATGGTACACTGCAACACACGGACACACGAAGACACGAGCACATATGCGACATGTGAGATATAGATATAATATTTGAGGAAACATCTATGACATCGCGGTTGGCCGACGACCTGTTACGGACAGTCGAGCTCCTTTCGCGGCCGTACCGCCGCCGCCCGTCACCACGCACCATGCACATCTATACTTCCCGCTCTCTTCCTTTCCCCCTCCATGGGTGCAGCCAAGAGAAGAAAAGAGTAGACATGTGGGGTTATCCGGCCCCTTAGTTTTCTATGGTTTGTGCTCGAGGAGGCAGCTCCGCCGTCCGACGGACCCGACTGAGAGCAAGGGTCTTCGAGGAGTCTCGCCGGAAGCAGGCGGTGGGGCAATTTTACACACAATTGTACGCTGTTTCTGTGTTGCATTCTATGCATCCGCGACACACGCACCCACACGGCTGACATCCGCTGACTCTAGTTTGAGAAGGTTTGCATAATGCTTGCTCGGCTGCCGCCAGTGGAGACAACTGCAGGCCACTCAGACTACTCCAGGCTATCCGAACAAGTGGAGCTGGTTAATGCAAGCGCAGGCATGCTGAGTTGAACAACTTGTTTTGGGACTAGGTTAAAGCCATCCATGACATGGATGATGATTGCTTGGACAAAGACCAGGCTGGCATCTTGAAGTTTCACGCTTCAAGTTGACAGGCCTTCTTCGATCCAGTCCTTAGGTGGAGCTTCTCTTGGCGACGGCACCGACTTCAGACGTTCGGAGCTTGGCAAAATGTGTAGGTTGGATGGTGTGCCGCCGTGCGTCACAGTGCCGATGCCAGGAACTTGCCATGCTTCATGCAGCCGCGAAAGAGATGCCTGAGAAGGAGGGTTGTCAAGAAGTTTGAGCGGCTGGCGCTGACAGTCGCTGGTGCCAGGCTTCTCTCCCATGGGATGATGCCGAGGATTTTGTGTGGAAGCTTTCTGAGGCCACGTTCGTACCGCTATCAAATGTTATCAACTTGTCAAAGTTATCCACTATCGCTCTGGTTGTTGTGACTGTTGCCGTGTGTTGTGTTGCCTGCGAGCAGCGAGAGGTCGGGCATTTCCTGGTGAGGCTGCAGACTTGGTCCTTCGAGCACTGGCCTAAGAAATGCTTTCTCTCAAAACCTCGGATTCCTTTACGGTCAATGGCGTGGCAGTGCTATGGCAGGAATGCCTTCGAAGAGCGATTCCACATATTCCACTCCGCTGTCACGGAAGTCAAGGATGCACCTTGAAGATCCTTGAAGTGATCCCTGGAGTGTGAACTTGCTGTGAGAGAGCAGTGAGAGCGTGGATTTGGAGGTATTTGGAGTGTTGAAAAGGTGTGTGCCGTTTTCTGGTCTCGGCACCTTGTGTGGTCTTCTCATGCTACTGCTCTGGCATTCCCTGCGATTTCTTTGACTACCGTATCGTGAGCAGCATCAATTCCCAAGGGCTGTTAGGCTATCACGATCCGAGTATCGGTCCAAGACAGTGAGTCTGGCCTCAGGCATGTCACGCGTTGCGGGATTCCTTGAGAATTCCAAGGCCACGGCTGTTGAAACGTCAGATCATGGCATTGCTGAGTGCAAGGCTTGCGGATGTTTGAGCAGGTTGTTGGGCATCACGCTGCATGTGGGCAATTACTTGAACGCCAAGTGCCTGGAAGTTCAGCAGGCTGATTCTTTGTTGCACAACTCGGGCTGAGGCTGGAACTTCCCGAGGTAGAGCGGATGGATTCTCTGTTGAGGCACATCTTCAGTAGCGTGAAGTTCATGAGGGTTCTTCTCTGTGGCATCTGCATACTAGCCGCCATCGACAGCCATCGCAGCTCAACAAAGAACTTGTCTGGACAAAAATGGCCACAGGTTCTTTCTCAGATGCGAGCTCTGAAGGGACAGGCCTGGTTTCGGGGCGACCACACGCTGGCACTGAGTCATAGAGGCTTTTTCATTGTTCCAATGACTCAACATGGGTTGACACAACCCCGCATTGGCATGCTTTAAACGGGGTATTGGCATCCATACGTCTGCCATACGTGGCTCGTCAGGCCACGTCGTCCACCTCTTCGGGCACGCTTCTGGATTTTGTGGTGCCCACTACTCGGGTCTAGGAATGGCAACGAGTGTTCAGAGTATTCAGATTTAGGCTGGCGAAGGTCTTCAATTGCCGATGTCTTGTGACCTGCTCATAGGAGGTAGCACCGCAGTTTTGGTACCATCTTGGCTGACCGTCGACGATGTACTGTTCTTCAGAATGCCTTGCTTTCTCGGCCACCAAGATGAATCAAGAATTCGGGTCGACTTCCAAATGCTGTTGTCACAGAGGAAATTCGTTGTGTGGGCTACGCTAGATTTGCTTATGCTAAAAGTGCCAATCTGGTTACATGACATTCGAGATTTCAACATGCCCAGCACAAACCTGTTGGGAGGAACCTTTCAGCGAACACCGATGGAACACAATGGAAAACAGGTACGCCAAGCGGAGCGAAGCAAACCGGGAGAGCTCCTGCAGCTCTTTGGTGACGTTGGTGAGGCTGGTGAGACTCAAATAAGATTGATCAGGGCAGTTTCATGCCTGTCAGGCAACTTTGGTGCAGAGAGCGTTCCGTCACAACCTCAAGGAGCTGTCCTTGGAGTTAACAGCCTACTGCGTTCAGGCCGGTCGGGCACTGCGAAGCTTGAGTCTTTGTCTTCTCACACACTGTCAGAAAAGTGTGCTGTCAGGCACGAGGCCTGGCAAGGCGCAGCTTGGGCTGGGTATTCTGCAGGGTCATTTATGAATATTTATGCACGGGCCAGCTAGCGGAGTACCTCCCGAGCCGCCTTCTCCAACCCCGCGTGCCCCACCCGGTGTGCCTCACTGCCTCCCGCCGTGCTCGCCCTGTGCGCCCGTCAGCGGAAAGCGGAATTTCGAGCCCTGTCAGTGTTTTGGATACTGCCGCGTTGGCTGGTGAACCTCTGCAGGGCACATGCGAAATCAATTCCTTGGCCCAATGAAATGGATGTGAACTGTGCATCTGACCAGCCTGGACCAGACTGCATGTGCGGCGGCATGCCTAATGTAAGTGCCCTGCCGAGCCATGGCAGCTGCACGGAACAATGTCCAAACATGTCTGAACTAGTAGCCCACTGCGAAAGGCATAAGCCTCGTCCGCAGAATTGCCAGAGCAGATCATTTAAGTGGCCGAGATAGACCTCAGCTTGTTTCATCGTCCAGAAACAGGCCGGCTTCTTGGGTATGACATGGTATGACACACCGAAGTGCATGGTGGAATCGCGACTTGTGGGCCATGGCCTCAAGTACGCGGGCTCAGGAAATGAAGGAAAACTTGAGCGAATCTTGCATGGAGATGCACGGAGAGAATGAGTGAGAGACGTGAAGGATTGTAATTCAAACTTCAGGCTCTGCATGATCATCTAAAAGCTTGGCGCACACTATGTAAGAGTAAACCTGAAGATGTAACCAAAAAATCTGACTCACGGATAAAGACACCTACACAATATAGTGCATTTGCAAGTTCACGCACGAAACTTGAAAAAAATCACGGTCCTTGTCTTTCGATACGTTGAAGCAATCTGCAATGAATCCACGGGTATCCACGGTCCGCGAATCGCGAATTGCCGATGTGTCTGACGCTTTGTGCAGGCAATCTGCCAATGGAGACGATGTGCTCAAAGCTCGAGCAGGAAAGGTGGAGGCCAAAAGGTTTGGTGATGTTTGATTGGCATAAGGGAATGGTCGATGGAGTCGATGTGTGCTTGATCTGACCGGTATTTTCCAGAAGCTTTGCCCCTTGCAGGCTCACTTGAAGGACTTGGCGGAAAGCTTGGCCAACAACACATCAGCCAACAAAAGCCCTATTGCAGCTGTCCCGACCACTGTTTGAGGAAACGCTTCAGCGGTTGTTTGTAGAAGCAGAGGAAGACTTCAACAGCGTATGCGATTTGGCCTCAGTCATGATGCAGGATATGCAGCATCGATGCAGATTCGTTCTTTTTGTGTTAGGCTTGGTTTCATGAAGGCTCCGGCAAGAAGCAGATGCCTGAGCTGCCGGTTGTGTAGATGAACGCGTGGTCGTCCTGCGTTGTCGAGGCCCAGACCTCCGGATGAGTTCTTCGGCTACTGGCACACTTTCTTCCAGGCCAAGTGCCATGCCACATTGTCAAACATTGTCACATCATACCCATTTGTGCACTCGTTTGCAGCAATTGCAGGGAATTCGCTCCACTCTGGAAGGGCCGAGAACTTGCACAATTGTCAGAGGTTAATTTTTTGGCAATGCAGAGCGAGTTTCCGAGGATGTATGCGGGTAAGAAGCGCCGAAAAGCTCCGCGATCAAGGGTCCTTCGTCCTTTGGATCAAATGGCAAAGCCTGAGCCTTGGGCAAATGTGGAAAAGAGGCTACCTTGTAGTAGAGAGGCAACGAAAAGCAGTTTCGGAGTTCTATACGCGACTTTTCTTCAGGTCCCTATCCTTGAGCGAAACAGTCAAGGCCCGGTGAGATTGTCTGAGGCTCCTTAAGAAAAAAAACCCCAAAGGTGCATTGAACATTCACGGCTGTTTGAAGAAGTGTTTGGAGATTTCTGGAACGCTCCGGCATTGAAAGGTGATGTGTGAATTCAGTGTGGTGGCTTCGCTTGTGTGGCAGGAGTTCAAAGGCTGAGCTGAAGCCGCCGTGCTCGGGGCGAAGCGAACGATCCAAAGCATTCCATTCCAACAGGGACGCATCACTCTCACAGTTGGCCTCTACTGTACAGAACACTGTGCCTGTGATGAAGGGAAACTGGGATGTTGTCATTGCCTTTGACTTCTTGGACTTTAATTGTCCTTAATTAGGAGAGCGTTGCTTACTGACTGCGAGCTGTGTTGAGTGAGACCAGTCGAAGCATCTTGCTCAGCATGTTGACATGAGACCCGAATATTTCAAACATCCTGTAGCAGCATTTGCCCTGATTGGAACTGCCACGCAGAGTCTTGTCACTGATCTGGACGACCTTGAACCCTAACGCCAATCCTGGGCATGCTTCAACATCTTCAACGCCCTTCAGTTCTTTGACCGTTGACTTCTCCTGACTGAATGCGGTGGCCTCTGCTTGCGGCAGTTGCAGGCTTGCTGTTCCCGTGAATCTTTGCGGTGGCGAAAAAGCGTCAACCGAGGTCTGCCAATGCCAATCCGGCCCATCTCCTGTGGCCGCTTGATGTCTTCTGTCGCTTTGTTTAGTGATGCAGACGCCGCGCAGTGCAGTATGTGATGAGCATGCTGGTGCTCCAGGCAAGAGCGCGTGGACAAGGAGAGGAAACTGGCCAAGAGGCAGAGATTGAAAGTCACGAAAACCCCCGTGGAGCTAGCGGAGTTACCAACCGCAGGTTGAACTACAGGGCTGTGTGGGGGGGGGGGGTGGGTGTCCATCCAGAGGTGGTCAAATTGGGGCCTAATCCTGACCTGGCTTGGGCGTCTCACCGCATGGTTTTTGAGGTCCGAAACGGTACTCGTACCCAAGGCTTGCCTTTCACTTAAGGGGCGCTTAGCCTAAGCTCCCCTGACGATCTGCTCGGTCAATGCTTGCTCCTCCAGCAACCGAACTAGCTTTCGTTCCCCAGAAGTTGGCGTCCTCTAAGCCTCTTGCAGCGGCCCAAGAGGCAGATCATGAAGCAGCTTGTCCTCGATGGCTGGAAGCTGATCGTGCGACATTGTGTGCTTCTAGTTGAAACTTGAAATAGTCCAGCTTCCGTCATGCAGGTGAGGAGAAGGACGCGGGGCCCGAAGCACCGTGCTGACCCTGAGCCCTCTTCCAGCAGCGTGGTGTGCTTTTTGACGTGGCCTCAACAAGTATGAGACTGGACTGAGACCTCTACACGATTTGCACCAGTGCATGTCTGGGCCCCATTTCGCTGCTGGTCCATGAACGCTGTCGCACGCGCAGACACACAGACAGAGTACCGAGGAGTGAAAGCGTTGCCGGATCGCTCATACGTACACACACACACACACACACGCTACGCTTGCAGTCAGCATCAAAGGTCCGTTCCTGCTCTGGGACTAGGTGGATCTATCCGTATTCGAGGCTTTGGTGTCTGAGTGTGCCGCCAGTCTTTGCAGGCAGATCTGGCATCACGCCCATGCTTCCGAAGGCACCAAGTTGCGGCACCAAGTTGCGGCACCAAGTTGCGGCACTTGTCCTGGACAAAGCTGATAAAGCCAAAAATGCGAAATTGCATTGCTTTTGTCGCATGTTGGCAGATCGAGACTTCAGGGTGACAGCCTCAGCGGACAAGAAGGACATGCCTCTGCTGTTGTTCGGCTCTTCCCTTCTCCAGGATGACGAGAGGGCGAACTGGCAGCACAGCCTGCTACCAAGACCTCCCTTTTTCGAAGAGCAACTGTGGATGGAGGACGTGTATTGAACCATTCATCGTATGGCCAATGGGCCAGCCTGTGTTAACGACCCTGCTCAAGCTTTTGTACCGTCCTGGGCAAGACAGCATCCGACCGTACCGTACCTCCATGATCCTCCATCAGGAGGCTGTGCCACGACGCAGCAAGTGGACAGTGGACCGAGCCGCCAGGTGTAAACCAGTTGTAACGTTTCAGATGACTCTGTGCAATAACCTCCTGCACTCCGATGTTACGAGAGAGACTCGCACTCTGCCTTTTTGGGGCGGAAACACTCTACCAAGCACTCGATGAGGGAGCCCTCCTCAAAAGCGACCTTGTCAGGAATATGTTCCCCAGAGAAGTTCTCAGCTTCTTGCCCTTCAAGAGTTCCTTTGCCGTGACGTAGCTGGTGAACGACTCGGACCGCCTCTCGCCCGAGGAGAAGAAGGCATCTATGGCTGCAGGGGCCGAGGGTTCAAGGAACGCGCGCGGTACTTCTCCATCACAGCATTGAGATTGGCCGAGTAGGCAGTTGCGCGGCTGCATGTTCCCTGGGACCGTGACGTGTGAGTCCCGAGTCTTAGCCGACCCTCTCGAGTCTGAGCCACTACTTCCACTGTTGTACCACACAGGTGCTCCATACTTCAGTTTGCGCTCTTGAACCTTCTGGGACTCGCCCCTTCTGACACTCGCTCCCGGGGCATGCGCACGCGTACGGCCGGTTCCCGCTGGAGATGACCCAAGCAAGTGCGCCGATGCAGTCCTTCCAGGGGTGCATTTTTGTCACTTCTCTGGTCTCTGATCGTATGGGCTATTCTCCAAGCTTCCGGTGCATGCACTATGTGCACTCACATCTGAGACTGCTTGCACCTTGACCTGAAGACAAGAGGGGGCACGTGGCTTCGCTGGATTATCAGGGCAGATTTGGAGGGTGTTGTAGAGGACGCTTTCTTTTCGTGCTGGAGCATGCTGGTGCAGCATGGCTTTAAAGGTTCAGCCGCAGGGGCCCAGCGTGGCAAAGCATTTGGGATCGTGCTATGTCATGCTTGCTTTTGTGCAAGCACGCACGGCCGGGGGTTTTCATGGACGCCTGGTAACCTGCTGGCCTTTCCTGCCCAACTGTGCCGGAGTTTGACAAGGGGTCTTGAAGTAATTGTTCCTGGCAAGCACTACATATATAATACATACGCAGGATTCTGTATGTAGATAGACATCAGGTATGTTTTATGACTGTTCTGCTCAAGCTGGTAAGGCTAGCGTTGCATCACTTCGAAGCGCCTGCCCGGCGAAAGTTGCGGTTAGATTTTTCGGTCTCTTTCGGAGTATCTTTCGGAGTAACTTTCAGTCCTTGCTCTCGAAGGCCCAGCAAAGACGCAGCCAATTAGCTTCGAGGAGCTTGAAGCAGCAGTCGCACCCTTGCAAAACCTTTGCTCAAGTCAGCTCCCAGGAGTTCGCTCGGTTCGACCACAGCTTCGCTTCGCAAGGAGGCCCAGATGAAGCCGTGTGCTTTGCATCAATAGTTGAGACAAGCTGCTTGGCAATGCTTGGCAATGCTTGGCAATGCTTGGCAATGCTTGGCAATGCTTGGCAATGCTTGGCAGGTACAGGATGCAGTGGCAGCCGAGGTTGCACGGAACGTGCCAGTAAATTTGAGGTAGGAAGCAGAAGTCAGGTGGCGAAGATCATGCAGCCCCTGAAAGAAAAGCTTCAGACTGAACAGACAACCAGGCCTCCGTGAGAAAGGGAGCACAGAAAGGCTGTCAAGGAAGACGCTGAGTGCTCTGTCAGGCAGCGTTTGGAGAACATGCTCAAGCTGGCCAAGGGTCAGAAGGCACAAGGCAGTCTTGACTTCCAAAAACTTCAATAGCACCTGACTGCCAAGGTGTAGTTGCCTTGCTGATTACGTGGCACTAGCCCATCACTAATGTGAGGCTGTGCGAATTCAAATGAAGGGTTTCACTGTGCCTGCGCGGGCCTGCACCCATTGCACATGACCCGTGGCTCGGCTCCCATGCGCTGCCTGGTGGCTGCCACGTGGGTGCACAGATTTGTACGGACACAATGCCTGTGCCCAAAAAGGATTGCCAGCCTTGCCCGCGCTAGGGGGCAGTAACGGCTTCCTAACTATTTTGCCTTCGTGTTTGTACTGTTCTTTGGCGTTCTGTATTTGTGTGGTCTAGGGTTTCCTGCAAGGAATAGAGGAAAGTCCTATCAAGACGCACAGTAAATAGAGGTCCCTGAACCCTAAGCCCGAAACCGCATCTCTTTTGAAGCCTTGCGTGCTTGCCTACAAAAAGTTTATGCCATAAAGAGGGCTCGCGTTAAGAAATCATGCGAATCCTTTTCCAAACCCATCATGCGAGTATTGCATTTGCAGATGGGGGGGGGAGGCTGCGCCCGCCCAACCCCCTACATTTTCTTTTGAAGCCTTGCACGCTTGCTTTAGAAGAGCTATATGCCAGAACAGAGGGCTTTCTCAGAACATGCATATCTTGTTTCATTCCCCTCATGCTAGCACTGTGTTTGCAAGACCTCATGCGAGCATTGTGTTTGCAAATGCCCCCTTCCCACATTTGTTTCTTTTGAAACCTTGCAAGCTTGCTGTACAACGAAATCGTACCATAAGAGGACCTTCGCCAGACCCTCCAGGCGAGCATTGTGCTTGCAAGTGGCACACCCCCCCCCCCCTCCCCCCCGCCCCAAACGCTTTTGCAAATGCTGCACAATGCTGCCATGTTTGAGCATGCATCACATCAGGAGGATCAACTTCTTGTGTCATGTCTTCGCTTTAACCGCAGCAATGCAGGATCTGGATACAATTTGTAGAGAGACTCCTGTGCATGTAAGCGTTCAGGTGGCAGGCACAGAGCCATTACTGGTCAGCCTCCACCGCATCTGTATAACTGAGCGAATGCAGGCAGAGCACATGCTGCGAAGAGGACTGCTTCTATGCACTGACCTCACGCATGCAAAGGCAAGCATCCCAAGACGAGTCTTGAGTAGCAAGCAAGCAAGGTCTAGTGATCGCCGTCATCATTACAAATGATTTGGCAAGTTTTGCCGCTGACCCAGTTGACCCAGTCAAGCTGCAGCAGCTGCAGCCTGCATGATTCTGCTGTAGCCTTGCTGACCGCTACTGAGGCTTGTCCATGGAGGCAGCAAGGCTGCCAAAGTCAACAGCAACTACGACAGCACCACAGTTAGTGCCCGGCAGCCCGCACTGCGTGTTCCTTTTAATTTCCTATCTTCGTTCTACAAGTTGTTGCCCTGGGATGTGCTGGGGAAGATTGCGGCACCGTGGCACATTGACTTGCTAGACAGACCTGTTGCAACACGCTTGTGATTTGCAAAAGAGCTTGTTCCAGATTTGGCTCCATGCTGGAGCATGCAGCTATTTTCTCGATTCGGTTCTGAACTGCGTCTTGTTTGCTTGAAGTTTGCGACCCCTCGCCGCCCTTTAGTTGCCGAAAGGTATCTTTTGTACGCCAACGGACCCCAACGGCCCCTCCCCTCCCTGCACCACTCAGTGCACTGTTTCCACTTGCCACGCCCGCCGAACCCAGACCGCACCACCCGCGACACCCAAGCCATGCACAAGCACTTCGAAAACACACCCACATCCACACACACAAACACACACACACACACACAAACAAACCAACCAACCAACCAACCAACCTACCAATCAACCAACAAACCAAGTACAAAAAGCAAACAAAACCAAACACATCGAAGCAAAACCAAACAAAACTAAACAAAACCACACAAGACCAAACAAGACCAAACAAAACCAAACAAAACCAAACAAAACCAAACAAAACCAAACAAAACCAAACAAAACAAAGCAACACTAAACCATAGCAAAAGAAACCAAACAAACCAAACAAAGCTAAACAAAGCCAAACCACAGCAAAGAAAACAATCAAGCAAACAAACAAACAAACAGCCAAGCAAACAAACAAACAGACAAATCCACCAACAAACAAACAAACACACACCCACCCACCCACCCACCCACACACACACACACACACGCACGCACGCACGCACGCACGCACGCACGCACGCACGCACGCACGCACGCACGCACGCACGCACGCACGCACGCACGCACGCACTCACGCACGCACGCACCCACCACACACCACCCACACACACCCACCACCACCCACACACACACACACACCACACACACACACAACACACACAACACACACAACACACACAACACACACACACACACAAAACACACACAACACACACAACACACACAAACACACACAACACACACAACACACACAACACACACACACAACACACACACACAACACACACACACAACACACAAAACACACACAACACACACACAACACACACAACACACACAACACACACAACACACACACAACACACACAACACACACAACACACACAACACACACAACACATACAACACACACACAACACACACAACACACACAACACACACAACACAGACAAAACACACACAACACACACAACACACACAACACAGACAAAACACACACAACACCAACACACACACACACACACATCCACACACACACAAACACACACACAACACCAACACACACACACAACCACACACACAACCCACACACACACACACACCACACCACACACACGCCAACGCGCACGCGCCCCACGCGCAACGCGCACGCGCACGCGCACCGCCCGCGCAAGCGCAACGCGCCACGCGCACGCGCACGCGCACGCTGAGCGCGCGCGCGCGTACGCGCGGCGCGCGCCGCGCGCACACGCACACCCGCACACGCACACGCGCACGCGCACACGCGCACGCGCACACGCGCACGCACACGCGCACGCGCACGCACACGCGCACGCACACGCACACACACACACACACACACACACACACACACACACACACACACACACACACACACACACACACACACACACACAGAGACACACAGAGACACACAGAGACACGCACGCACGCGCACGCGCGCACGCGCGCACGCGCACGCGCGCGCGCGCGCGCAACCGCCCCAACCGCACCCGCACGCGCACGCCGCACGGGGCGGCAACGCGCACGCGCCCGAGCACGCGCACGGGAACGCGCACTGCGCGCGCCGCGGCACGCGAAAGCGCAAGGGCACGCGCTCGCGCTCGCGCTCGCACTCGCGCACGCGCTTCGCGCGAGCACTCGCGCGCGCGCACGCGCAACGCGCACGCGCACGCGCGCGCCGCACGCGCACGCGGCAAGCGCCGCGCACGCGCACGAGCCCGCGCCGCGCACGCGCACGCGCATGCGCACGCACACGCGCACGCACACGCGCAAGCACACGCGCAAGCACACGCGCGCACACGCGCAAGCGCGCGCACACGCGCGCACACGCGCGCACGCGCACACACCCGCACACGCGCACACGCGCACACGCAGACACGCGCACACACGCAGACACGCAGACACGCAGACACGCAGACACGCAGACACGCAGACACGCAGACACGCAGACACGCAGACACGCAGACACGCAGACACGCAGACACGCAGACACGCAGACAAGCAGACACGCAGAAACGCAGACACGCAGACACGAAGACACCAGACACGTAGACACGTTAGACACGCAGGACACGCAGACGCAGACACGGCAGGCACGCAGACAAGCAGACACGCAGACACGCAGACACGCAGACACGCAGACAGCAGACACGCAGACACGCACGCAGACACGCAGACACGACACACAGACACGCAGACACGCAGACACGCAGACACGCAGACACGCAGACACGCAGACACGCAGACACGCAGACACGCAGACACGCAGACACGCAGACACACAGACACGCAGACACACAGACACACAGACACACAGACACACAGACACACATGTCCCAGAGGATGACATGCTCTGCAAAGAAGCCGTATATGGACGCAAGCAAGAGGAAGTAGGAGAGCACGAATGGAGTTGTATATGATGTACTCACTCAAAATGTCATGTCCTATTACATGTGGACATGGTCATTTCGGTATGCTCACGCATGACACTCCAACATGGAAAACATGCTCACTCACGATCACGCTCCACCGCTCATGTTTGCACATTGCAGACACATGCTCACACGCTGATCATGCTCTGTCACTCATGTTAGCACATCCCCTCCACATGTTCGCAACACATGCTCCGAACCTTCCCGAACCTGCTTGATGTTCTCGTCCGTGCTCATGCGTGATCCATCAACATGCTCATGCAAGTATGCTCTGCTACCATATTGTCACTGCTCAACAGACTGCACCACAAGACATCCAGGCTTGATGGGCTCGAGGTCTCATGACATGTTCACGGCTCAAAGCATTCACCCATGTTCAAATACCAAATGCTCAAAACGAAAATCACGTTCTTGTAGAAGTGGTTGAAGCAACAGCGAGGATGCACCATACACAGCTTGTGTTACAAGACATCTATAACTATCACTGCAGGTACGTGGAAATGGCGTCCCATCTCCATATCACTGTGCAGTGAGAGCGTTTTCGTTGGCAGGAGACTTTCAAGCACACTCCTGCCCCCTGCTGTTATTGAAACATGAAGACGTGCTTCCGTTAGACTGCCAGGTTTTGCGCATTTTTCAACTCATTCTGCAGTGCTTGTTGGCGATCCCGCATGTACAGCGGTGTGCCACACACACACAGAAACACAGAAGCACGGAAGCACGGAAGCACAGACGCACAGAAGCGCAGAAGCACAGAAGCACAGAAGCACCACAGAAGCACCACAGAAGAAGCAGAGAAGAAGCACAGAAGAAGCACAGAAGAAGCACAGAAGAAGCGCAGAACAAGCACAGAACAAGCACAGAAGAAGCACAGAAGAAGCACAGAAGAAGCACAGAAGCAGCACAGAAGCAGCACAGAAGCAGCACAGAAGAAGCACAGAAGAAGCACAGAAGAAGCAGAGAAGAAGCACAGAAGGAGCACGGAAGCAGCACAGAAGAAGCACGGAAGAAGAACAGAAGAAGCACAGAAGAAACACAGAAAGAGCACAGAAGGAACACAGAAGCACAGGAGGAACACAGAAGCACAGGAGGAACACAGGAACACAGGAGCACAGAAGCACAGGAGCACAGAATTCACAGAAACACAGAAACACAGAAACACAGAAACACAGAAACACAGAAACACAGAAACACAGAAACACAGGGAAACACAGGGAAACACAAGGAAACACAGGGAGACACAGGGAAACACAGGGAAACACAGGGAAACACAGGGAAACACAGGGAAACACAGGGAAACACAGGGAAACACAGGGAAACACAGGAGCACAGAAGCACAGAAGCACAAAAGCACAGAAGCACAGAAGCACAAAAGCACAGAAGCACAAAAGCACAGAAGCACAGAAGCGCACAGGCAAACAGGATGCGCAGACACGCAGACCTGCAGACACGCAGACGCGCAGACACGCGCGCACGCACACGCGCACACGCACAGGCGCACACGCACAGGCGCAGACGCACACGCGCAGACGCACACACGCACACACGCACAGACAGAGACACACACACACACACAGACACAGACACAGACACAGACACCGACACCGACATCGACACCGAGACAAAGAATCGCAGTCAGCAACATCGTTGTCCATTCATTGTCACGAAAGCTGCTCCTTGGAGCGTGCCGGAGTTGTCGTTTACCAATCATTCTCTCGTTGCTTCTCTCTCGCTCTCTATCTCCTCCCTCTCTCTCCCTTTTGCAAGATGACACGAAAATCAAGTAGACAGTTAACTAATGGGCAACGGGCGGCAAGGCCCCCCTAAATGATCGAGCCACCAACCTGAAGGCTCCCTAACCAGACTGAAACCCTAAGCCCCAAACCCTAGACCCCCCTCCTGTGGAAGCGCCCACGCGTGATCCAGCAACTTTCAAGCTCTATAGGAAGCGCCGGCCCCCTCGGCCCCCCCGCCCCACCAAAAACTGGAACACGCGCCGCTGCATGTGCAAAAACGCCAGCGCCACAATCTGATAGTGAGTTGATCTTCTTTTGCCAAGGCACGCCCTTCACGGTGCAGAAACGGTTCCCTCCAGAGTTGGATGCAGCACAGTGTAACGTCATGGATGTGTCTGAGGCTTGAGACTAGGCACTACATTTCTCGGTGAAGCTAGGCCCTCGGAAAGCTCACCGGCGCTGCAGGGCAAGCTGTGGGGCAAGCTGCGGGGCAAAGGCCATCAAGCCGAATTCGCGAACATGCCTTGTCTTCTTGCCGGTGTCGCCTTTACTGTAAAGACTCGAAGGCGAATGCAAGTCGCCCGGCAAGCAGAGCCCCTTATGCCGTGGAGGTCCAAATGCACTGGCTTTGACAGATATTTCTAGGATATCAGGAACACCGGTTACCTATACAATAGGCTGGCAGTGTCAAAGGAGCCGAGGGGCAAAGGTGCTGGTGACAAGACAGGCGTCAGCCCTGCTACCGATGCCAGGATTCCGAACACTCAGAGCTTTCAGTGGCTGTCCGTGCGGGAGCTTCTGCTGCGAGAGCGAATCCTGATGGTGGCGGAGTGCCCTCCATGTTTTGACTCTTTTAGCAGTTCCACGAGCTTCCACCCTCTACGCCCTCCCGTACCCGAGCATCTCCGACCCGTCAGAAGGGACGGCAGGTCACCGCAGCTTGGTAGGGAGACCTGCATCGAAAGGTACATTGATGACAACATGGCCAATGCATATTTGGCCATGCTGTTGTACCTTCAGTCTGAAGATGCCAAAAAGCCAGCACTGCACTGAATTGAATTCTCAAGCGTAGGATTGTCAGCCAAGTTTCAGGGATGGATCGTTGGAGATCAGGTGCAGATCTACTTCTCCAGCCCGGGTGCCGCTCTGAAGCCGGCAGGGATCTGAGATTGTGGTTCGGTCCTGTACGCTTGAAGTGCATTCTGCCAAGTCGATGCCCCGGTACAGGCACCTCATTTCGATTCAGACGCTGTCCACGCTTGTTGGTGTCGTACCGAGTTCATAGCGGGTCAGGCTCTGGCCTTGTATGACACCATTGGCCAGCTGAAGGCCAAAGGCTGTAAGGCCGAGAAACCCAGAGCAGCAAAGGCATTGCAAAACAATGGCAAAGGCACTGCAAAGGCAGTTCTTCTGTGTTCTTCTGTTCTTTGGCCTGGCATTTCCAGGTTACCACGGTCAGCTACTCTCTTTGTGCCGGGATGGGTGCCTTCTTGGCAGCTTCTGGCTCGTGCGCACCTTACAGAAATTTGCAATCCCTTGCTTGGGACGTCGTGTCCTCAACGCTGCGCTAGGCCTGGGCGACGCTTTGCGACTCCAAACTCATTGTTTCTGCTTTCCAAAACAGGACTTGGCTGGGGCGTGGTGTATGACAGATTCAACAACAGAGTACCGAGAGTATGGTCTGACCATATCTGAACAAGAGGACTGGAAAGTCCAGTCCAAGGTCAGGCGACCGAGATCGAATTAGAGGCATGAGTTTGCCAATAGTTGCCATATGCCCACAGCATGGATTTGCTTCGGCGCATCCGACGGAGGCAAAGCAGATGCTGCGGGAAAGTGAACGCACCAGACCAAGTGTTCTGAATGCCTTAGTAGGTTCGTACGCCACGTTACGTCTCTTTCAGGCATCGAGGAAGAGCTGACCAGTATCACTGGCAGATCTCTTGAGCAGATCCGAAAGGAGACGCAGTTTTTCTTTTTGCTGGGTGTGACAATGCCTGACTGCCATCTGTACAAATCTGTACTGTACTTGCCATAGCCAGAGTGGATTGCAGGATTTGCGACGGAACTTCTACTTGACCGCAGCAGAGGCTGTAGAGTTCGCAGCCGAGATGTATTGCTTCACTGGCTCCGTTGGAGACTTGCAAGTTTCAGCTTTCTTCCAGATGGCTGTCAAGGTATGGTCTGATAGACAAGGTCTTGGTGCCGCAGGACGACAAAGGCTCCAAGCTCGACCAGGCAGGGGCAGGGTGCCCCTTTGCGCAGCTGCGCGAACTGCACAAAGTCATCGACCAAATAGCATACCGCCAGATGGCGGAGCACAAATCCTCGTCTCCAAGATAGCTTCTTGAATGCTCCTCAGTGAGGACCCGGACCTTCAACAGTCTGCTCAGCATCCTTACTGTCCCATAGTCGACAGGCCCAGCTCACCAACCATACCACAGATTAGCAGATCCGCCGTGCGGACAAACTGTGACTGTGCCACCTTCGGTGTCGGACCTGTGACACGAAGGTTGTTGATGGTTGTTGTGGTAGATGGTTGTGGATGGTTGTGGATGGTTGTGGATGGTTGTGGATGGTTGTGGATGGTTGTGGATGGTTGTGGAATGTTGTTGATGCTTGTTGCATGTGGTGACCTCTGTGAACGTTGAATCTGGCAGGGCACTCGTGATCCGTGGAGCGGCCAGGCAAGGCATAGGAGTTGTTACAATCGCCAGACTCTGGTAGCATTGACATTGCTTCTTTCCTTATTCTTTCATATGCTTTCCCTTTTTGTGTCCGTTTCATTGTCCTATTTTTCAGGTCGTAAAGCCGCAGGTCGGCTTCGGTGTCTTCGCAGATCCAGATCAGCCTCGAACCGCTGTCTGAGTTTGCGATAGGAGAAAAAACGGAGAAGCGTGCTGCTTCGATAAGACTGCTGCATTGCTTGCACATTCTACATCATTCTACTAATCGACAAGAAGCATTAACTTGATGAAGTCACTGCAGACAAGATGCCCTGTCCGACTATCTGCATGTGCATAGCATACTGCCTTGATGGAAAATGCAGGCAGCTCCAGCAGAAACCGCATGAGATTTGTTTGGTGCAAGGCTTGCGCAGCCTGTGCAGTCTTTGCAAGGCCATGCTCGCACCCACACGGCTCCATTTCCCGGCTTCCCTTTAGCCTCAGCAACTTTACGAAGAAAAGCGACAACTTCACCAAAGTACGGTAACAGTCCAAGCAAGGGCCTGGCCATTCGATTCATGACAACATCATGCAAAATAAAACATAGCTTCTGTGCTTGATGGGCTCGTCGGCAAAATCCGGCACATAAGGACATAAAATCCTCCAGGGATGCAATGTGGGTGGGTTCCTGCCGTACGATCGGACCGTCTTTTTTTTTGCCGCTTGAGTTCGAGGGAAGTGAGACTTGTGCTTTCGAAGGGTGTGTTCGAAAAGCCTGAAGCTCTGCCCTAAACTCAGGTCTCAGAATCCTTACCAATCATTCCTCGTAGCCGGAGCCATGATTGAATGAAAACTGAAGCACCGTGGCTTCTCGCCAACGAAAATCAAAAAGACATGTCAACTTCACCATCCCCAACCCCCTTCCCTGCTGAATTCAGCAGGCTTGAAAGTCCGCCTCTTTCAAGGCTAGCCGTCGTGTTTTTCTAGCACCATGGTCAGGCTGAGTGGCAAAGCTTGCTGTGAAGGTGGCGCTATGAGATCTACGCCAACATATGCTGCTAGATAATCAGGCTATGTCAAGAAACTTGAGGCTTCGGCTTGGAGGGTGAGACTTGTCACATAGCAGCGCAACAACATGATGCTCAGACCTCTGGCCTGGATAAGCGGCCGCTTCCAGACCCGAGTGCCGAGTTTGTTTTGGAAGTTTTCTTGCATGTTCAAGACTCAAAAACTTGGGGAGCAGTGCAACTGGTTATTTCCAGCCGCGCGGATGCGCTCCAGGTTTCGCGCTTGGCATCGGATGGTTTTTCGTGCATTTTGCCAAGGGCTAGCATTTGATGCGTTGTCATGATTCAAAATCAAGAGCCCCCACACGTCTTTTGATTTTGAACCATGTTGAGCCCTAAGATCCTCAATGCTAATGAGGCCATCAATCGAAGGGCTCTCTGCAACGAGTCCAAAGAACACATGCCGGGAGTCATGAGGTTGCGCTACCAAGCGGGCAGGAAGACTACCCAAGTCGGGTCGGGTGATTGATCGCGGTGCTTGTTTTGGGTGCGTTGTTTCCGGAAACTCGTTGCTGGCAATTTGAGAAGGTGTTGGTTGGCTAGGACTTAGGACATGTATTATCGTTGTGTTTTTGGCAGAGTGATGATTGCCATGCATTCGGCCGATGCTTGGATAAGTGTTTCTGCTGTTCGCGCTCGCCGTATGATTATTTGTTTTTTGTACCTCAACTTTTCTGAAATGAGACAGGACCGACGAGAGACTACTGGGAGAGCTGTTGCATAGTTCATAGCTCCGAGAGCTTGGCAGGGTTCCAGGTTCAATGCCCAATACACTCTGTGGCCACCAGCTCTGTTATGAGTTACCCGTTACGAATAGACATGAATCTTCTTCGATGTTCTCAAGTCTTCGACCCCTGCTGCATGTATTTAGAAAATCTGCCATGGTGTTGGCGAACGTATCACTGGGTTTGACGAAAAGTCTAGTGTGTCATATCGTGTAGGAATTCCAATCAAAGTTCATGTAGAGGTCCTCTTGGGTTGTTTGCCGCGCAAAGTGCTGCGGAATCTACCATGTTCTTCATGTCTAGTGTGTCACCATGCGGCTTGCGTTATAACCGTTATACTTCGGCTCAACCACCAATGATTGTGTTGCTCAGAAATTGCTAGCTGCAATATGCTGCAATATGCTGCAATGTGTTGGCTTGGCGGTCCGGAGTACAAAGGGCTTCCTACAAGCATATTCCAGTTGCACGAGACGAATTCCATTCTTGGGTCAAGTCAATTCAACGAGTCTCCTTCAGATGCACTGACGGTTCGCATTGACGCCACCCCTGACGCCGCCTTTGAGACTCATCTCAGGCCTGGCCAGGGTCACGGTGGCAAGAATGATGTTTCGATTGAATGCCATGGCTACCCACATGATTCTGCCTGAGCCAACCAAACTTTTAGAAGGTATTGCTCGCAGCATCGACAGCAGGCAATCACAAGTCAACAAAGTGTTTTTGTGCACGGGCAGGTCGCCATGAGCGGAGGCCATTTGAGCAAGGCAGGTTGGAGTGCAAGGGAAGGTGGAAGGTGCAAAGTGTTCACGTGCGAGACTCAACAAAATGCAAGGAGTTCTTTGAGCTCGTGAAGAGCATTGGCGAGTCCAGATCGAAACAAGAGGAAGACAAAATCATCGTGGGCGAGATCGCTATCTTGAAGCAGCACCTCAGTGCGCCGAACATAACAGCGAAGAAAATGAAGGACCCGTGAGCCGAGCAGCGATTGAACGAAGGCAACCTTGGGTTGTTTCCTTGTGGCTTGACGTGCGCAGTGGTTAATGTTTGCAGGGTTTTCTTCTCCTCAACCCAAGTATTGGTGTCGAAACGGCCGTGTCGAAGGAGTACATGATTCGGGCAGTGTATGCAGAAATGCTCGGGCATGATGCGTCCTTCGCCTACATTCATGCTGTGAAGCTGACCCACGAGAAGAACCTCTTTGCCAAAAGGACCGGGTATCAGCAGTAGCATTGATTGCATCTGAGATGCAGATGGTGTGATTGTCGCTCTCGCAGCGGCCAGGATAGGCTACTTGACGTGCAATCTTTTTCTTCACAGAGATCACGAGCTCATGTTGCTGCTCATCAATACGATGCAGCGAGACCTGGGAAGCGCAAACCACATTGAGGCTCTCAGCTCGGGATCTCCTTTTGTCTGTGAGCACTTGAAATTGCTAGGTCCTTTCGGTGTTCACGGTGTTCATGGCCTCTGAGGTGTGTTCCGCCTTGACTTCAGTCTGCCGGCTTGCTCCTTCGTTGCACTTTTTGCTGGGCAGCGTGCATCCTCGTGATGCCTCGTGTACATCAACGCTCCATGTTGGCAGAGCAAAAGGTAAACTTGGAGATGATCCCCGCAATCTCTCCGCTTGTCTTCAAGTTGCTTTCTCACCCTCAAGAGGCTCGCGGCTAGCTCAGCTCCAACTTGATGAGTTCTGTTGCACAAACGTGAGCATCCATACCTGTACGTCCACCTGTGTGTAAGCCGGGCAGGCTGTGAGGAAAAAGGCGGTCGTAGCAGTGCACAAGTTCTTCAAGATTGTTCCAGAAACTGTCTTAGACCAGAAGGACCGGAACTGTGCCAGTTGACCAGTGTTGGTCGGTCCGTAGTGGATTGTTGGCCTGTTCTAGAAGTCCAATTCGGCAGGATCAGATACGCAAAGTGCTGTGTGATCCCGATCCTTCAGTCATGGGGGCATCTCTCCATGTTCTTTGTGAGGCCGGTCAAGGGGGTCAAGGGTGTCCAGCTTCTGTCAGCTTCTGCGGCTTCTGTTTTGCTGGACTTGCCTGCATTGGCCTACATTCGGATAGGCAGAATTTTGCGAGTGATTGTAGTTAAGGGGCTTGTTGCCGCTCAATGCTGAGATCTGGAATGCAGCGGGCTTTGGATGCCTCGGACAGGTTGCAAAAGCGCATCCAGCTTCATGTAAAGACTTGGTGCCCTCATTCGTCAGCATCCTGAAGTCGAGTTCTGAGCTATGGGTGCGATGAATATGCCACATTGTGCCGCATTGACTCCACCTTGATTACTTCAAGTTGTTCTTGAATTGCAAGGCAAATCACTGAACATCGGCTTCCCCGAGATTTCGACTACCATCGGATGCCAGCGCCATGGCTGCAGGCACGGCCTGAGCATCGAGCCGCTTGCAAGTCAGGGCTCTCAGAGCCAGTGTGGCAGGTCAAGCTTCTGTCCATTCTGAGCATTCTCGGCACAGCTGACAAAGCCAACTCCGAACACATGTACGAGATCCTGCAGGTTGCAGATTCTTGTGGATGCTTAGTTTGCTGAACCTGAGAGAGCCGACATCCCTGCATTTAGCTACTCTCATTGGCAGGAATGCATGCGACGTGCTGACAGCGGGGTCAATGTTGGTTATGCCATCATCTACGAATGCGTGAAGTGGCTTCGCTCAGGTTTTGGCAACTGTTGAAGGAGTCAGGCACCGAATGTAAGTTCGCCATGACATGGCTTGCTTGTATTGGGGTGGTTGGGATTCGGCCAATGCATGCTGCGAACGTTCACGTAGCGCCACCAATGCTTGTGCTTTGTGATGTTTTGTGGTGGGTTTGCTTATGTTTGCTTGTACTGGGGTGGGTTGGGATACGGCCAGTGCATGCTCCGAACACTACCGGGTTGCTACATGCCTGTCCTACGTGGTTGCAACGTGCTTGTCAGTCCGATTGTTGCTGTAGTGTGTTCAGGCTTCGCAATCTGCGTGCATGTTTTGCTACCGTGCAGTGTTCAGTCTTGCGACTTGTTGGCTTGTGTTTGCCTGGCCGTCGCAGTGGAGCGACATTCACAGGATGAATATATATATATATATATATATATATATATATATTTTAAGGGGCTGCGCCCATGGGCGGGCAGCGCAGGCAGAAGCGCGGGCGTCACAGGGTTGGGGTTTCTCTTTGCGTTTAAGTTTGAGGCTCCTAAACTCCCTTGAAGTTTCTAAGCATTTTGAGGCCCCTAAACTCCTTTAAAATCTCTGAGCGTTTGAGGCTCCTGAACTCCCTTGAAGTTTCTAAGCATTTTCAGGCCCCTAAACTCCCTTCAAATCTCTAAGCGTTTGAGGCTCCTAGACTCCCTTAAAGTTTCTAAGCACTTTGTAAGGCCCCTAAGCTCCCTTTTTCCTAGCCCCGGGCTTAGATACGTCGCTTATGCCCGTCATCATGCTCCTGATGCGCCCCCGGGGTCCCGCCCCGGGAGCCGCTGATGCTCCCTGGGGGTCCCGGGCTGGACCCGCTGATGCTCATGATGCGCGCCCTCTGGGGGCCTCCGTGGCGACGCAAATAACGCGAAAATAAACCGTTCACCGGGGGCACGCGGGGTCGGCGGCACGGGCGTCCGGCCTAATTCTGCTTCGCAGAAGGCCGAAGGCCAGCAAGGCTATTGCCGGGACGACCCGGCCTAAAAGGTCCGCCAATGCTCGGTCCTTGGGGACCTCGCGCTGCCCGATTTTAAGGGGCTGCGCCCATGGGCGGGCAGCGCAGGCAGAAGCGCGGGGCGAGCAGATCCGTCACAGGGTTGGGGTTTCTCTTTGCGTTTAAGTTTGAGGCTTCCCTTGAAGTTTCTAAGCATTTTGAGGCCCCTAAACTCCCTTAAAATCTCTGAGCGTTTGAGGCTCCTGAACTCCCTTAAAGTTTCTAAGCATCTTCAGGCCCCTAAACTCCCTTCAAATCTCTAAGCGTTTGAGGCTCCTAGACTCCCTTAAAGTTTCTAAGCACTTTGTAAGGCCCCTAAGCTCCCTTTTTCCTAGCCCCGGGCTTAGACACGTCGCTTATGCCCGCCCTTTGGGGGGCATCATGCTCCTGATGCGCCCCCGGGTCCCGCCCCGGGAGCCGCTGATGCTCCCGTGGCGACGCAAAAAACCACGAAAAACAACCGTTCACCGGGGGCATCCAGGATAAGGACGTCCGGGCACCGCCGGGCATCTTCTGGATGATCACCCAAAAATTTTTGGTCCTTCTCCTGTGGGTGTGGGGGCGGGGTAAGGTGCAACCAACACAAAACGCGTGGTTCCCCGCGCTTGGCGGCCTTCCAAAAACAACAAATTCGGTTGTTTTTGGTCCTTTTCCTGTGGGGGGGGCGGCTAGGCGGGCGCCTTCCAAAACAACAGATTTGGTTGTTTGTGGTCTTTTTGTTGTGGGGGGGTGGCTGGGCAGAAGGGGTAGGGGGTAGGTAAGGGGGGGGGGTAGGGGTGGGGGGGGAGGGGGGGGGGTAAGTGGGGGGGTAAGGGGGGGGTCGGTAGGGGCGGGGGGAGGGTGAACACCAAGTGCGTGATCCTGTTTGGCCTTCCCAAAAACAACAAAATTCGGTTGGTGGGGGGGGGGGGCTAGGCAGGGGGGGTAGGGGGGGGGGGGGGCAGGGGGGGGCAGGGGGGTCGGGGGGGAGGGGGGGCAGGGGGGGGGTTCGGGGGGTCGGGGGGGGAAGGGTGCCAACAAAAAACGCGCAGTTCCATCCGTGTGGCCGCCTTCCAAAAACAACTAGGACAGGGAAGGGGCAGGCCGCGCAGTGCCGTGGGGAGAGGTAACTGCGGGTCCAGCGAGAAAAGTAAGAGTCCAGCTTCTTGACGCCGACAAAGGGGTCGGCGGATATATATACATATATATATATATACATATATATTATATACTATATATTATACATATATATCCTGCCTGCCCTGGTGTGGGTTGCCTGCTTTGCACACCCGTGACTGTGTGCAGGCTTCGTGCTCTTAAGAAATGTTAAAGAGTCGAGCGTTGGTTGTGCTATGTTGCGTTGCCGCCGACCCCCCGCCAAAGGAAGGAGGGAATGGGCAGGCGCTGCAGGCGGTGGGATTTACTGATTCAATGTGCGGCCTCTGGCCAAAAAAGACATTGCGGAAGAGGGGAGGGTATGGAGATGTATGGAGGGTAGATGCCCTTTGCGCTGCAAACCGCCAAAGAGAGGCGTCTTTGACTCTGCAGCGAGTGCATGCTGTAGAAGTCTCAGAGCTCTGCAGAAGCCGGTCCTGTTTCTGTGACATATTCTAAGGTGCATCACCAAGATCTTTCCAGATCATGGCCTCCTTGAACTCGCAGCTTCGAACATATCAAGGCAAATCCAACTCGGTCCAAATCATGTTCGGCGCTTGCTCTGACTGGAACTTTGACAGGTTCATCTCGAGTGAGAACCACAACCTGCGATATTTGGGTGTGACCGGACTTGCCCAGATCGTGCAAGTCAATCCGTGCTGCTAGCTCATTGTGGAGTACGGGAGAAGTTCGTGGGGCTTTGTGTTTGTGCTTCCGCGCTGCTTTCACTGCCAGGGCGTATGCTGCCGAGCACCAGATGGTTGTCGTGGACTGTTTAGAGGATGGTGTGGTTCTTCGCCTCGAAGGAGAATCTGCATTGCTCACTGTCCTGAGGACCCAGACGAGACGTTGAAAAGAAAGACCTTGGACTTGTGGCGCCACCATGTTTGACACGGCGATGTGCTGGGCGTTTGTGTGTTAACGCCGTGCTTGGATTGCTTCATGTGGGTGGTGCTGTTGCATGACACCAGCCTCACCAGGTTGTTCAGGATGACAAACCCCCAGAATGTGGTCGTAGTGGCGGGCACGTGAGAGTTTCGCAAGAGCAGATCTGTTTGTGCTCTGCACAACATCTGTGCGTCAGGTGGACAAACTGAACTTCCACCTTCGGACCAGTGTGGATCTTGCCTCAGATCCACAGGTAGGAGACCTGCCGTCCTGCAGCTGAGACAACTTAGGACGCTCATCTTCGCAGGGACCTGGTGCAGAAAATAACTTCGCTGGCCGAGCGGTTTGCGCCGGACAATGAGTGGTGCGCCATCAGTATGGTTGCGAGTACAAGTTTATCGGCATCCGCCACTTCCTACTTGCTCTCCGATCTGTCCGATCTCGTATGATATGACATGATGTGACCTGACAGCGAGGCGCAGATGTGTGAAGTCATAGATTGCTGCAGGATGCTGCAGGCTTTCTCAGGTGATTGTTCTGGGCGAAAGGACCAGCTGTCATTGGCAGCAACTTTCAACCATCCACATCTCAAGCTCACGAAGTGAAGGTCACAAACACATGTCCTGAGCATAAAGCCGAAACAGATTGCACGAGGAGGTTCCAGTAGAGCTTGCGAGTAATGAAAGCTGCTATGGCTGCTAGACGACTAGTTCCGCTTACAAGTGGAACTTGGTTATCTTGCCCACGGTTGGATCAGTCTGAGTCATACCACGGATCGCAGCAAGTGCTTTGGCAAGCGAGAGGTACGTCAACACAATGAACACTGTGTTTGAGTTGAGCGGAGAGCTGGTCCCTGCAGAGACAGCCTACAACCTGATGCCACCTTCTCAGCTTCAGACACCGTCTCAGCTTCAGATATCTGGAAGAAAGAACCTCATTGCGGTGGAACGACGGCTTGTGAATTCGACTGACAGGCTACAGTTAGAATGCTTACAACAACAGATCAACGATGTACAATGTACCCTTGATGCAGATTTGTTTCAGAACGACGTCTCAGAGTTAAGGACGTAGGGCGTGAACAAATTTCCCAGCCAAGCATGTAGAAGACTCAACCTTCATTGGAAAGGGGGCAGCCAAGTACCTTAGCTGCTAAGTAGCTGCAAGTTTGCCCACCCGAACGTGGTCAACGTGGGGCACTGTCTGGTTCTTGCTCCCCTTTGGAACCCGGCTTTTTCAGTGACAATGCAGCTAGTTGTAGCGTTGGTGACCAGCTTGTGAGGCGTTTGGTGGCAGAGGGAGCCGGGGAGGATGAGTCAGCTGACCAAGCCTTCCGTGTTTTCGCAGTGAACACATACTTAAAGGCTGGGACAGAGTGGCAATGAGTGGCACATACACGTAGATTCTCTTGTCTTTGGGAGGGTCGTGAAGGTGTGTTTCCTGTGATAGTTCTAGCTGATTCTAGCTTCTGTGCGCAGCTGCTGGAGAAGTCCACGTTGTCAGACATTCTCGTGCAGGCAAGGGGCGCTTTGCATACACAGCTTTGCAGAGATTCTCTCGGCCACACTGTTGTTGCACCTGCGGATACTTGCTGCCTGCAGCATCGGATGCGAAGGTGATTGCTTGGGTACTCGGTGAATATGCCCGACTTGCAAGTGTGGACGGCTACACCATAGAAGATATCGCTGACCTGCTTTCTGAATGCATCGAGCGACCGCAAGCCGGCCGCACATTTTCAGGTACCTAAATTACTTAAATGTTATCCGTTTGCAGAACAACGTGGGTTGGAAAGCGTTGGAGAAAGCTTACGTCAGCTCACATGAAGGTTCGAAGATCCAGCCACTAGAGGTTTCCTTGCCCGGGGCCTCAGCTGCAAAGCGCACCCGCATTCAGATGAGTTGATTGATGTTGGTTGTTGCAGCCTATCGCAGCCATGTCGCATCGTGAGCCACGAGGTCACAGCTCTCATGAAGCTGATTGGCCAACATGGGGTCAAGAGCACGACCGCGGAGGACATCATTCGAAGGCGGACGGGACCGTATCGAGTCTGCCAGTCTGCCCCGGTAAACTTCTGCAAGCATCGTTCGAAGTTACCGCTCTTCGCGAATGACGGACCTGCAGCAGCGCTGCTACGAGCTCCCCGGCAATACCGGCAATACCAAAAAGAAAATTGGCGACCCTGGGCTCGAGTTGTTCTACTATGTTGTGATTTACAATGTTATACGCTGTAGCAGCCGAGCCCAGGTTTGAGCAGCTGCGTCAATCACCCGCAGTGATGCGAAAGGCCAGTGCATGCACACATTTTCTGTAGGCACTCCAGCCGGATGTTCCGGTACATTATGAGCTGTGTTGCGTCAAGGTTTTGCCATATGATGCCTCTTGTGAAGACATCGTTGTGAACAAGGAGCAGACATTCGCCAAAGTGCTCACAGTGCTCTTAAACGCGGTGGAGCTGTGAGCCATCATGAGCCTGGCCAGGACTTAAGTTTCCTCGACTCCTTCGTCCGACGAAAGCTGGACGAAGGCTTTCCATTTTCTTCCCGCTCTTCCGTCTCTGCTGCATTCTCATTCCATTTCGTTCCCGCATTCCGCATATTCTCACATATGCTGCATATTCACAAAATCCACATCGAGTATGCTGAAGCTTTACTTTGAAGCTCTACTCTGCTACTGAAATATCTGCTCCTGGCCAATGCCAGGTGCGAAGCCGTACCAGAGCGCGGTTGAGCGAGCGCGAGAGCAGGAGGGCCTTGCTCCGAAGGCTCGTGCCACATAGAGCACGATACCAGATCGACACCAGCACCAGCACCACCTTCAGCGTCACCGTCAGCATCATCGCCATACTTTGTTAGTACTACATTAGATTTCATCTGCCTGTCGGGCTTTTGCATCAGAGGGACATGGAGCTCGTCAGGTTGAAGCTGAGCTCAAGCCATCGCTTAACTTCATGCCGTATGAGGCCATAGTTGTGCAGTGACTTGCTGCGCTGCTCCTAGCAAGGCGACGCTGATTGCACTGAGAGGCTCCCACCAAACCGCAGCCATCTCCTGTGCAAGACGCTGTTGGCGACGCAGGTCGCGACCTGCGCTTCTTCTGCATGTCTGAAGTTGGGGATCCCCCGAGGTAGCACATACAGCACAGAGGCGGCTGTCCCGAAGGGGCTAAATGCATCGAGCTTAGCCAGGGTTCCACGAAACTTCTGCAGTCTGCTGGAGTGACGCAGGATGACGTGGGGGACGGTTCTCTGTGTGAGCAGGTCTCTGGACCCAGGAAGTGGGGTCCAAGTGGCTACAATCAGCCTGGTGGCAAGCCGGATATCCCTCAGGCTCCAGCGTTGGATCTTTGTTGACACCTTGCAGGTGTTTTGCTCTGTTTTCTCTGTTTGCTGAAGCTGCTTGAGGCTGCAAGTCATGACAAGCCTCAGCCGCCGGAGCCCAGCATCCAGGCTATCCCGCAGAATGCAGGAAAGATTTCAAGGTTTGCAAGTTGCAAATGTTTCAAACATCTCATGACCTTTGGACGTCGATCTCTTCAGTCTTGCATGGCCAGATTTGCTGCATCATGCTTGAGCGTGTCCTACCAGCCCCCCTCAAGACTTGAAAGGCGCAGCCTGCCGCGCCGAAGCCAGTCCCAAAAGCACCCGAGCCAGCTGGATGCCAAGCCTGGCCTGTGCATGAAATCAGCTGAAGCCAACCATCATGTGCCTGGAGACATTATAAGACTATAAGAATCTATAAGACACATGGCAGTCCCCCAGGTAGTCAGCGAGAAGCAGAAGATGGCCGCGGCATTGTTCAGTGGTCTTGGAGGCTCTTCAGCGCCGCCACCCAAACCAGCCGCGCCAGCGCCGGCACCAGCGCCGGCCCGGACCTTCAGTGGGACACGTGGGACTCCGTGGGACTCCGTGGGACTCCGTGGGACTCCGTGGGACTGAACACAGTTGCACAGAACGTTTCACTACCAGATTCGTGAGTACTGACGTCAGATGCTCGATGTTTCAGCAAGGTAGGGCAGGCAGCTTGATTAGCAATCAGATCCGGAATGCAAACCTTTCCTGTGACATGCGCAGTTTTCAGTTGCGAATCGGGTGGTCTTTCTGATGGCACCATTGTTGCCAATTCCTTCAGGATTGGCTTTGAATCAGAGAGTCAGAGAGGCACTATCTCGCCTTATGAGGGCTCAGCACCCATCGTCATCTACCTTCCGAGTTTGGATGCCCTTGCTTGGCCTGCCTAGCCTTACGGGCAACAGAACCACACCATCTATGTGATACACGATGTGTTGATGACTCTTCTTGACAGTTGCTGACTGTGAGACACAGTGGCGTGCAAGCAAGGCCCGTGTTCGCGAGCCGCAAGTCGAGAAGGCCGTGACTTGTTGGCAGCTCGCAACGTCGTAGCGATGTTGTAGCTAAGTGTGCAGCCAAGTGTGCATCCAAGTGTGCATCCTGAGTGCATTCAGTGTCGAAGGCAGTGGAGCCGTCGCCTGTATCAGCTGCCGTGGATTTGCTGGATTTAGATGATGCGCCGCCGGCACCTTCTGCACCTTCTGCACCTTCTGCATCGCAGCCGCAAGCTGACGGGGATATGCTGCTCTTGGATATGGCCTGGGGCTGAGATGGGGAGATGGGCTGAGCTTGTGAAGTTGAGCCGAATAATCGAACAGAGCACGTGGCGCGGCTTTGTGCGAAACTGACGAAGGTTGTTTGACAGTGTGATTCGTAGGCCAGCCCCTCCCCTAAGTCCCCAGGGCAACTTCAGTGTGTGAAGGGGATCCTTCGCGCAGATTGCCAACCTGCCAACACAAGTGTCACAACTTGCATACTCGGGGTGATGAATACAGCTGCGAATATTCACGACATTTCCATGGCACTAGTCACAACTCAAGACTTAAACTCAAAAACTTACTGCTTCCAGGTGTGCATGCTTACGCGTTCGCCAATGTGCATACTTGTAGGCCTGCAAATGCCGGTATGTAGTGCGAGTGCTGCGTCTAGGTGCTAGTTCCGGTGTGCTAGTACCGGTATATGAAGGCGAATTCGAGGGTGGAAGATGCTTCAGTCGACTTCGAGTTGGCCTCGTTACCAGGTATGCTTGGCTCATCCTGGCTCTTAAAAGATGAAATGCTGTGAATTTCGTCCGTGAACATAGCCACCAAAAATTGGACCGCTTTCTCACGAGTACGATTTCGGTCACGAAGGTGGCCACGCTGTAGCTTTTCTCTCGTAAGATCATGGCACTAACTAACGCATTGCCCTTCACTGTCCACTACTTATGGACCTCGTATGTCGCCTGCGACAGGCAGCATCCTTCTCGCATGCTGGAGTCGACTAGTTGGTCTCTTATTTTTTACGCTACGCGACCTGCCTCGGCCTGAGCTTCTGCAACAAACCAGGCGGGGCAGGTGGGGTGGGGGTGGGCCCGGAGGGGGGGGGTGGGGACTGGGTGGGGGCCCCCTATGGCAGGCTGAAGTGCCCCCTGGTCACGCACTGTTTGCTCCCGGACCCTTGTCGGGGGGGGGGTGGGTACCCATTTCAGGCCAAAAAGTGCAAATAACGGGGCGCAAACCTGTCCACGGGGTGTTACGGCCCAAGGCCTCGGCGGATTGGTTCTGGTAAAGCATTTACGCGCCAAGCAACATTTCTTTCATTCCGCTCTTCGGCGTTCTCCAGAGGCGCCTTCTCTCAACGCACTGGCAATGAATGACGTCAATGCTGTGGCAAGAAAGGCTTAAAACATGACAGTTTGCCAGTGCCAGCAATTGGTGGAAGCTGCCTCTTCGCTGCGGGTTCGCCGACGAGCCCACAACAAGATGCCAGAGAGAAAGGGACGTGGAGGCAGAGACATGTATTAGTACTTGGACCTTCCTGTCCGGCGCGTAGTCTTACTTGTAAGTGAAACTCTGCTGAGCTGGCCCTTGTCTATGAGAACGAGGAAGTTTTTTCAGTTCCGAGTGATTGTGAGTAAAGGAATCCACGACGAAATGCGACAACTCGAGCCGTTAAACAAATCATGAAGAGTCCCTTGCGGTCGTTGTTCCCATGTAATTGCTGCGCGTTGTCCAGGCCTTGCCCACATTCTAGCAACACGTATGCAGAGTATGTGATTTCCGCATTGCCACACATGTGACGGCCACGGCTTTTGGGGTTTGCAGCAAGATGTTTCTTCAGGACGACGCACCTCCGAGCACTGCTGCTCAGACCTCAGATTGAGATGTCACGGTGCAGAGTCGCATAGGTCTGTGAAGGCAAGTGCTGCATGCCCTGAAGGCAGCTCCGCAGGTGCCGCAGCAGCAGCCTCCTTTGCTCGGGCCACTTCAGGCCACGGAGATGGCAACTACATTGTTTAACATTTGTTTAACTGTTTCAGGTGCCAATCGGGGCTAGCGGCCAAGCCTTTTTACGTGTCAAGGTGACAACGGCCCAAGTAGGAGCCACCTGGCCACAACTGGCCTGCGAGCGTCTGGTGCAAATGCAGACTTCCCTAGGCCTCGCCGGCACGCTTGATTCAGCATGACGAATTTCATGGCTAACAGTGGTGTGCTGCTCCTGTGCCGACGTGCGGCAACTAGACCATTGAAGATATTGAAGCTGTGCAAAATTTTGCCGGCGTTCATTTGCTTCACTCCTGGGCCCCTGGGCTCTTGTTTCAAAGGCGACTCCTCTCTCTTTTCTCCCTCTTCTCCCTCTTCTCTCCCTTCTCTCTCTTCTCTCTCTTCTCTCGCTCTCTCATTCTTCCATCTGACCGAGCTCTTCACCCTTACGAGAACTTGCCAGGAAGCTGTCAGGAGATGATGCTGAGATTGCAAACCGTGGTGAACGTCAGCCCTGTGGAGATCGTGGGTCGCGGCCTTGCACCCTTGGAGCTAGTGGGAGATCTGGGCTTTCATTGATGTCGCCAGTGCTGTGGTGATGCCTGCCGAGAAGTGCTCTTCACGAAGAGGGTCAAAAAATGTCAAAAATCAATGTCTTGTCCAGAGCCGATCAACTCGAGTGAGGCAATGTCGTCTACGGATCAAGCAGAATAAGCCAAAGCGGCATTCCCTTAAGTGAGGGGCCTGTGCAAACAGCAACACAATGGTTATGTACACAACTGCTGTCCGCAAGTGCTTGAGAACCCCGAAAAAGACCGCAAGGAAACAAGTTTCCTCCTCAGTGGTCCGGCATTAAAGGAGGTACGGAGAAACTGGGAAGCTGGGTCACACAAATTCATAGAGGCCACTCGTGTGCGACGTGCGTTTGGACAACAAACAGGAAAGTTCAAAAGACCATTTTCCAATTCTACGAGTTCATGTGCCACCAAACATTCGGTCGATATCTGTGTTCCAATCAATGGTGCCAGCCACCAACATGGCAACACTGCATTAGTTGCCCATAGCTTTCTCCAACTGCCCATGCGGCGGGAATCTTGTCACATCAGTTCTCGCCGCTTGCTCTCTGCGCAAACAAACCTGGGAACCACGACACAATCACAGAGCAAAAGCTTGTACATCACAAGTTATTGCGAATGTGTTGTAAGTTGCTGTCTGTGTTTGGCTGTCGTGGACAATGTAAAACTGAGTTCCGGAGGCTTCTTGAGGTTCTGGCTTGGCATCCACTGTAACGGATAGAATGGGGGCGTGGCAAGTCCTACAATATTGGGCCAATCGCAGTCTGCCCGCTTCGCCACAAGACTCAAAGTGCTCAACTGCGCAGCAAATGAAGCGAAACATCGAAACATGTGCACATGTTGAATGATTGAGTGCAGCGAAATCTCTGCAGGCATGGAGGGCATTGCTGCTGGCCGCGTACTACCCGGAAACGATCCGTGCTTTTTGCATGGTGCGCGACTTACCAAAAGCACATGTTGTGAAGTTCTTGTCCCGTCTAGAATGTTCGAGATATGCCGACATCGAACCTCAGGAAAACTAGCTCCCCCCCGGCTTGACATCAAAGTCAGATGCCGAGATCCAGGAGCGCTGAGGTTGAAGCAGTTGAAATCACATGAAATCACCTAGCAAGTCGTGCCGTAAGCTGGAGCAAGCCGAGTCATCTCGCAACTCTGAGAAATGTCTATAACCCGTCTGAGTTTGGAGAAGCCCGGCAGGTGTGTGGCAGGTCATGATTGTTTGAATCACCAATTCTTCAGTGTGAGTGGATGCGTGAGCATTCGTTCAGCAGATTCGTTTGCCTCAAACGCAGGAGTAGCCAGCAGCGTGGCAGACCTTTGCCAAAGATCACTTGCTTGATCATAGCCGAGCAAAATGTACGAGTGAGCGGAAGCGGAATGACGTAAGTGAACGTATAGTGTACACAGTACGCATTGTAGGTACTATATATTCGTATGTGTAGGTTTTATCTTCCATGTGCCTACTGTTGTTCTCCTACTCATGATGGGCTTCATGTGCTGCATGAAGCGATTTGCATGTGACAGCAAATGGTTCTTTGAGCGTGGCGATTTCGGACCGTTTCCCACCTTGGTTGATGTTGGAGCACAGAACATTGATAGGATCTCATATTGAGTAGGTTGGGACCCTAATTCAGATCTATCAAAGTTGTTTGTTCGTTGAGGTCTTTTCAGATACCCATTGAGAACAAGCTAGCAACATCTTAAGTTCAAGATCTCAAGCAAGTACGAAACAAAACGTGCCAGATAATGTCAAGGCTGCGAACAAAGACATGCAACGAACCCAGCAAAAATGTGAGACCGCGGGCGCAGGACTGTTTCAGTAGCTTTCCTCATGTGAAGGGCGCTGTTGCGGCCTTTGCGGTAAGGCCATACAAAAGACGGGTCATGGACCGATTTCTGGCGTGCAGAGGGGGGGGCGCCAGGTTAGGGGTGCGAGAATGAGCCTGAAGGGGCGGCCTGTTCAAGCTGCCAAAGCTGGTAAAGTGGAGCTTCAGGCTGAGTTCAAAAAGCACCAGGCCATGCGAGGGGTTCCCGTCCTGGTGGCTTTGGCAGCTGTGGCATCGTGCGTTTTGCAGGGATGCTTGCCTCCGGACTGGTCTTTTTGCGACTGTGACTTTCGTGACAACTTCTGGAACAGCATCCTCAATGACGTGCACTTGCTGTGGGACGGGCCAGATTTTGTTCGAAAAGCCAGAGACAACAGCACTTTCCAAGGGAGATACCTTCAGTCGCCTCCCAGCGACCTAAACTGCCCGGTTTCTCCAACTGTGTTTTGGAAAGCATGGCCACAATACGGGATCACACGCGGGCTCATTGAAGGCTCAATGGGTGATCTGTGGATGCCAGGAGCCAGAGACAGGTTCAAACAAGTTTGCATTGCTGGGCATCTGGCATTGATGGCAATTTGTTCACAGCACTTCCTCGTGAAGTCTGCCCGAGCACAGGATGCTGGTGATCCAGATCATATGAAGTGGTTAGAAGCATCATACGGTCACATGGTCGCGATTCGCAACTTGGGCCAGGCCTACCAAATTCGACAATGCATGGGTCAACAAGGTTGGTCATTGGATGTGGGGGCATTCCACAAGTATACGACCAGGTGGATCGGCAGAGAGTCGGAGGGAACAAGTCCTCAAGCTGCTTTCTTCAACGGGAAAGTGGATCCCTGGCAAATGCTCTTCACACAGCCGATGCACCACACGAGTGAAAGCCGCGCGTCGGCCTTGCCGGATCGGCGCGTGTGCGTCCCTTTCAAGGATCCTGCTTGCTGGAAACGCAAGTCCTTGTTGCTCATGGAGACCTGCGAGTATTGCTGCAACCCATTCGAGCACAAGACAGGGCGTGGAGCCAGCTGGTGTTGGGATGATGAGTGGACGTATGAGAGATGTTGCCAGCAGGACTACAAGGATTTGGTATGCGAAGTCAGGCGCAAGGGTGAGGAAGGTGGATGCGTGGATTGCAAAAAATCTGTTACCTATGTGTGCATGACGCCGCCCGAGAAGCGCTTGCAAGATGCTCAGAACAATTACAATGCCAAGGTCGATCTCTTCAACAGCCTTCAGCAGAAGGCGACCACCCTCGCATCTGACATCGAGACCACGAAGAAAGATTTGCTCAGCAAAGATGAGTTGTACCGGCAACTTCTTGCGGACTTGAATACCAAGCTACAAACATGGCATTTCGCTTTCAACAACGCCTCGCGACTTGTGTCTGTCGCGCGGCTTAAGCAGCAGGAAGAGTCATGGAACAACTCCAAGATGGCATGGCAGCAGGCAGAAGAAACGTTGCGCTCTGCTCAGAGTGTGCTAGCCTCTGCGGAGGCTGTCGTCTCAGATGCCAGGAAGCAAGAGCAACTTGGACGCCAACTACTGGCAAGCAATGAGTCCGCCTACGAGATGGCAAAAAGTCGTCATGCTGCGAGCGAGAAAGCCCTGGCCGTCGCGAACGAGAAGCAGCAAGCGTCAGAGCGAGAAGCCGCTGAAGCAGAAGCAAATCTGCAGTCAGCGACCACAGCAGCTGATCAAGCTTTGGACATTTCCCTCTCGGTGAATAAGTCCCGGGAGGCCATCTATCACAACACCAGTCACAGCCTGGAAGAAGCAACTGCTCTGAGAGATGCAGTCCGAGAGCAGGCGTGGACAAGCTTGCTGGTCGACAATGCAGCCAAAGTTCTGTCGGAGTTGTCACGTGCACAAGCGGGTCGAGTTTGCCGACCAGATCCAAGCGTGGTCGACCCGGAGTCTGCCAGAGCTCGGATCCGCTCTGCCCAGCAGTCAGTCAATGAGGCCCAGGCATCAAGAACACGCAGCGCTGATGAATTTAAAGCGGCTGGCAAGGACGAGGAGCTTGTGCAACAGGCGATGTCAAACTGTTCTCGTCGAGGTTCGAGCTGTGCTGTTGAAACATCTACATCCATGGAGTGCCTGATCGCAAGCACACCTGCCAACAAATCAGCAAAGCCTGCCGTGCAATCGCAATGGCAGAAGGAGCTCTGCAGTGGTTGGACTTGTGAGGCGATTGGAGGTTGCACGGACTGCAAACAAGCCAACGAACTGGAGCTGAATACCTTGACGCAAAGGCTCCTGGAGAGCAAACGCCTTGCAAATGAGGCCTTGGCACGCTCCCGAACTGAAAACAAGCTTGATTTGGATGAGGATATTTATGTTCCGGCTGCTTTGCTGAGTGCCGTTGAAGAGTGCGCTAGACAGACGTCTCAGGCCAGAGACAGGCAGATGCTAACTGCGAAGGCTTCAAGGGAGGCCCAAATTTCCTTCGAAAAGGCAAAGGCACACCACGAAGCATGTAAAGAAAGACACGCCGCTGCCCAGAAGAAGGTGGTGGAAAGACAGGCGCAGACGGAGGAGACGTCTGTCCATCTGATGTCTTCAAGAGAACACCTCCAGAGAAACGAAACAGCTCTCCAACAGAGAATGCAGCACCTGGTCAGGGTGAATCGAACGGCCGAAGATGCTGGAGCTACAGTGGAAGCAGCCATCAACCAGCAAGCAAAAAGCAAGATGCTGTACACAGATCTGGCACAGCTAGCTGAGCAGAAGAAGAAGGTGCAAGAGCAAGAGCTGCAGCGAAGAGCGCAAGCTAGTGAGCACGTCCAGGCGTTAAATGAGACTCTTGCCGACAACCTGACAGTTCTCGTCTCAGCTTGGCTCCGGCAGCAAGAGCAAGCCAGCGAGGCCTTGAGAGTCCCGTGAGTCTTTGTTGCTGTATTCGAGCCTTCGAGCTTTGCTTTATAAATTTATAAGAGAGCACAATGACCATCTGCGAACACTGTGGAGAGAGACTGCTGGCGGTGTTCATTAAGATGGCCCCAGCTGCAGAAACTGATTGATCTTTTGTAGTCCGACGGTGAGTCTTTGTTGGTCAAGAGCTGACATGTGAAGTGTGGCTGAGCGTGGGTGAAGCCGCATGCCTTGAGCTGAAGTTACGGTCGTACTGGAGGGGTGGCCAGTTTATCACAGATCCTGTGGTCAGTCTCAGCTTCACAGTCTCGTTTGTGCCCTTCAAAATGATTCAAATAGATTCTGCATTCTGGCAAGCTCGCGTAAGGCTTAAGCACATCGCTTGGAAGTGGCAGCGACAGCACTGTGCAACCAGTCGCAGGCATCCCACTCCACACGGTGGAGTGAGCGACTTCTTGCGGCTGCTAAAGCCGTCCTGGTCAACATGGCAACCGCCCCGGGAAAGTCAGATAGATGCTTGACTCTTTGCAAGTTTATGTTGCTTCAGGCTTGGGTGCGTTGATGTCTGTACGCTCTGCGGCATGTACGCGCAGTCTTCATGAGATGCGATGTGCCAGTGTAGGAAGAACGGGTCTGACCCCACCCAGGGACCAGAACGAATGCAGGAGCGAAGATGAGCAATGGCCTCACACTCCCGAAATACGCGGTGCAACGACGGCACGAGGTGTCGACCACAGTCGAGACAACCCAAATCGGGACCGAGTACCTTGTGGCACGCGGGGCGCACGCTCCACGAGCGTGAAGCGAAAACATCCCATCCAGAAAGGAGCAGTCGTTGAGGGATGATCACCTGCAATAGCGTGACATGCCTGCCATCGCGAAACCATGTACATATGTACATGTACAATGCATCATTTGACCAGCGGTCGCGGTCAGCTTGCCACAGACGAGGTCGGATCGTTTGAGAGTTTTCTGGAGAATTACGTTATCAGCATCTCAGACAAGGAGTGGGCGATACATGCGAGATGCAGAAATTGAAGTTGTAACGAGCTGGTAAGAGAATTGCTGATATCATGTGATGTTTGCGTAAGGACGCAGCAATGCAGGTTATGCGTGCAATGGAGAACCTTAAGGCTTTGGTTGTGCTATCTTGGCATCAACTTGAGGTTCTGAGATGAAGACGTTGTTGCTTTTTTCATAACACAGGCTGTCGAGCTCACTTGTCTCGAAGCCGAGAAGAACGCAGAGGACGCTGCGCAACAGGCAGAATTGAACTCGCCAGTCGTTGCTGCTCCACATCAATAAGTGGTGCAGTTGGCGCATTGCAGATCAAGATGTTTGAAAGGTCAGACAGGCCGAAGAAAGGGCGACAGAAGCGGAGGCCCTATGCACCCAGACCCAGAGCTAGAGAGTCTTAGACAGCCTCAGCAGGTTTCAGACAGCCAAGGCGGTCAGCCAACAGTGCAAGCTTGTGCTGGTAGGCTGCGAGGGCAGTTGCAGAAGAGAAAGCCCTCAATGCGACCAGCAACCTCGCAGATGCCCAGGACTTTCGAATCTCTCCATGAAGTGAGCGTTGCACAATCGCCAAGTTGCTTGGTGGGCCGCCAGAAGGTGAGTCAGCATGGTCAACCAACCTCAGGTGCCAACAGCCAAAGCACCAACAGTGGCAGCACTGCATGTCACAGCAGGAAGTATAGAGGGCTTCTCTAATATCCACTGCAAAGGCATAGTTGGTTGCATCAGTGCCAGCAGCGGCACCACCCAACCGCTGGCAATGGAGACACATATTAGCGTCCGCGTGAAAGGTGAAACGCTTCCTTGTCGGGCCATGTATCCTGGCTCCTGATCTCGCATGGTGAACTACATGTGCAGAAGTGTCACACTCCCCCAACTTCTTACTGCCGCAAGCCTGCACGAAGGAGGCGGTCATGTCTGCGGAGACCTTCGTGGACCAGACAAGGCCTCCAGCGGCTCGATCGAAGATTGCTTTCAGCCATGCACCTTCAGACTATGCAGGGCCAATTCGATGATTCATCGTTTTTTCCCTACTGCTGTGGGAAGCCTCTTACTTGTCGCCAACACTGCCAAGAAAGTCGTGCAGCAGTTCGTTCATCTTGTTGGCTTGTAGGGTTAGTTTGTCAGGCTAAGTTGACTCTGTCAGGAAGACGGTCGAGAGCTTCAAGCAACGTCTACATGATTTGCAGTCTTCAGTTGCTCAAGCACAGGCCTTTGCACGGGGCACTGATGCGCACAAGTGGAGTCCGATGATTTTGTCAACTGCAGCTGGATAGCTGCACGCTGCGGCTGCTCTATGTTTGTGCAGTTTGTACTTGTTGCAAGTTGGAAGACGTCGGACAGGCAGAGGTCACAGCTTCAGCAGCGGAGCTTGATAGTGCGGCTGCTGCACTGGAGAAGCAGGCAGACCATGTCAGGACAGGTCATCGTTAGACTGACGCAGGCTGTGATAGAGCAGGTCCTGCAATTGTTGACAGACTTGAGTTAGACAGTTTTGTTGTACAACTTGTAAAGTGCAGTGGCAACCGCTAGCCGCTCTAGCAAGAATAACGAGAAGTGGTGCCCAACAGATCCCAACGCCTAATGGGTTGCTTCACGCCTGGCGTGCGAGCGCAAGGCCAAGCAAGGTCTTGCAAGCTTTGAACAATTATGAATTCGTCATTTTGCTTTGCGCTCGTTATCTTATGTTACTTTGCACTCTTTCGAGCGCTACGGTGCACTACATATAGGCTACTGGGACTGGCGGTAGGACGGAGCAGCTTGAACCCAGTTGGGCTGTCAGGACCAGCTCACAAGATGCCGAGGTAGCTGATGCTGAGGTAGCCAAGGTGGCCAGAGTGTTTTGGGACAGCAGCAGTTCTATCTAAGTGCAGAGAGTCATCAGACCATCGAATTTGTTGTCGTTCACGGAGGCTGTCGCAAGCGAGGCAACGGCTGCAGCAAACGTTGCAACCGCCAAGGCAGCGCTTCTTGGTAGCCGCTCGACATCGATTAAAAAGCTTAGGGCCATGGCCCATCATGGCCCTCTACTGTGCTATGTTTGTGCTATGTTGCGAGAGTGGACGTGCGTCCCATATCATCCAATGCAGAGCCAAAGAATGTCAGTGAGTGGTCTTTCAGGCAGTCTGGCAACAGCGAAGCGTGAGTGTCAACCCACCGAGACGGAGTTTGAGGCGCATGAACCAAGTTGCTGTCTGTCTGTCTGGGCTTTGAGCTTTCCGTTGCTTCGTTGAAGCCGGCCGATTGAAGCGTAGCATGCTTGTGCCAGGTCTTTTTGCACTTCCGAGAACAACTCAGTCTCGCCAAACATGTGGTTGCCCGTACCTTATCCTTCATGCCTGAATGCCCGGTTCAGAATCTTGTAGAAGTTCTGATGGCAACCGCCAGCATCCTGTTGTCGTATTCCCCCAGAATGTGCCAGTAGCATGTATTTTATTTTGTCATCATTCACGAGCAAGTCTTCTAGAATTAGCTTCGGCGCTTTGCTCGCAACAGTGCTGAAGCCAACATGGTCCTGCAGTCATTTATATGACACATGTGCACGTCTGCCATCGAGGTGCAACGCCTGCAGCTTTGGCAGATTTCTGAGGGCCTGCTTCAGGAGAAGCTGATGGTCCTCCAAGATGCGCAGGCATCATGAGCCAATGAGCCTCGCCATGGCAGCCTGGTGTTGGTAACGCCGTAACTAATCTGTGCTGCTCTGTACCACCCATCCACAAGGCCCCATAAAAACTTGTGTGGCGCTCTGAAGCAACAACGTATCGGAAGAAGTCGTTGTTATCGCAGCACTTTTCGCTGCGCGAAGTTGCAACGCGTCGAATGCACGCCTTGTGAACATAAGTGGATAGCGCACATTTGACGAAAACCTCCAAAGCCACCTGTTCACCTCACCAAATCTCCTGGCGCCCCACCTCGAGAGAATGCGACAGATATCCCTGCAGCGCCCACTCCTTGAAAATTCTGCACAACTCCGGCAGCAGAGAATCCCGCAGCACATCTCGGAGCCGGTCCCTAGGTCCCTACAGAATATCGCAGAGAATCCCACACAAAATCCACAGAGAATCCCACGGAGAGGCATTGCCGAGTAGGCATTGCCGAGCTTGCCAACACCTCCTTTAGGGTTCAGGGCTGCCGGCAGACAACCGTTCTGTGGTTCGAGGCCAGCCAGCATCTCCTCTTACTATTTCGGCAACGTTTACTTTTTGGTTCAGGGCCTGTCCAGGCAAAAGCAGGCACCGCTTGGAACATGGTTATGGTTATACATTCTCTGCGACAACCCAGCATCATGAGCATCAGGGGTCCCGGTTTATCCCCAAATCCATCTTCCGAGCCCTCGGTGGCACCTGCTCAAAACGGATCCGGGTGGACGGCGCCCCGTCTGCCCCAAATTCTAGAAGGAGTAGCATCAAAAACCAGACCGGATTTAGCCCCAAAAATTGGGGCTCCCTCCTCTTAATGATCAGCTTACCAGAGTCTTAAACGGAGGCTCTCCCTGAAATTTGAGGGGAGAGCTTTCGTTAATTAACAAGTTGCAAAGACGGTCTTTTTAGAGCAGAGAGCCCCTCGAACTGTGCAGGCGTACTCCTTGCTTGGCGTGCCAGAGCGCCAACTTATAACTTCCAGAGGGCCCTGAATTTGTCAAACGGACAGGTGGGGGCTCCGAAAGCTTCCGGGAAGCGAGAAATGCTACAGGAAATCTGACTCGTAGCTGTTCTGCTTACTTGCTGGCGCAAAGCTTTCTGAATAAGAATACCACAAGAGAGACAGGAAGCTAGGTGTTGAGCCCTTTTAGGAGTGCTCTGTGGGGCTTTTTTCCTTGTCTGTTGTTCAGCTCTTCTTAGTTTGAGTAACCTTTCTATATGTGGCCGCGGCAATCCTGCACGGCTCCGCCTGGCAAGCCGAGACTGTGTGTGTGTGTGTGTGTGTGTTACTATGATTATGATTATTGTTGTTATTATTGTTATTGTTATTGTTATTATTATTATTATTAGGTACCCCCCCCCCCAAAGATCTAGGTATTTTCATGGTTTTGGGATCTGTTTTAGGGTTTAAGGGTTGGGGGTGGGGGGCTAGCTAAACATGTAAAACTCAATATGGACATGTGAATCTTGATATGTGCGAGTCTTCATATGTGCGTGGTCGTCTTTTCAAATTGTGAGCCCGATTGAAAACGATTGAAACGATTGAAATTCAATCGGAGACCGGATTGAAGATTGAAGATTGAAGATTCCCGGAAACCTTTTTTTCTGGGAATCTTCAATCTTCAATCTTCAATCCTGCCCCCGATTGAATTTCAATCGTTTCAATCGTTTTTCAATCGGGCCCCCGATTGAAAAACGATTGAAACGATTGAAATTCAATCGGAGACCGGATTGAAGATTGAAGATTGAAGATTCCCGGAAAGCTTTTTTCTGGGAATCTTCAATCTTCAATCTTCAATCCGGCCCCCGATTGAATTTCAATCGTTTCAATCGTTTTTCAATCGGGCCCCCGAGGGCCCCCGATTGAATTTCAATCGTTTCAATCGTTTTTCAATCGGGTTCA